CATACAGCATAGACATTTTTCCCAGAGAGGTCATTTCTGGAGGATCTCAAACTGCTTTCGACCATTTCCTGTACGTGGGCGCAATCGCTCCTAAAGAGACTTTTGCCAGACGAACGGAGTTAGGCCAGAATTGGACCCAGTGAAATAATCACTGCTGCTGGCCCTGGGACCTGCCTCCTCCAAGAATCTTGGGAATTGCAATTGGATGAGTTTGGGTGAGAAGGAACATCTGGTCATGTAGAAGTTTCAAACAGGGATCACCGCAAGATTTGGAAGAATTGGTTTTGGACAGATAGGAAATGAAATGATTGAGAAAAATAAGAGCATCATTAATAGGAATATACATCCTTGTAACTGATGGGCAACTAGTTCCCTCTTGATTGGTTGGCCTAAAATACCAAGGACATCTGTCATCATTGGTCATCTCTCATTTGTGATCCTTCTCTTTAATAATACCATGCAATAGCTGTTAATCCTGAGGCATTATTACATTTGCTTGGAAGCATAGGGGAAACTTGTTGCTTTTCACCCAGAATGGTACCTCTGGTTAAAAAAAAATCCCTCATCTCCCTTCAAATTTCCCGAGCAGAGGTCACAACGGTCGTTGAGAAATGGTAAAATTCCCCTTCTGCCTTGAAAAGGAAGGCATCTTCTCAACATCTGGATTAATTTAGCTTGGCCTGCTGGTCTGGCCATCACAATTTGCAACAACGTCCATTTCTGTTTCCCTGCTTACAGCATTTTCAAGATGTTAGGGTTTCCAGTTTGCTTGAACTGTGGGTTCCACACAGCATCTCACCATCCCAAAAATCCAAGTTGCCAATTTCATCGTTTTTGTTTCTAAAAGGGGGCCTAACTGCCCCATGAGACTCTTTTTGGCGGGGGGGGGGATCTCCAAAGCACTGGGACAGCCTAATCCAGGAGATGAGAAATATAACCCCTAAAAAAAAAGTTATATCTAAGGGTTACTTCACAGCGGGATGATTAGGTAAAGAATGCATTGGAATATTTCCTCCTGGATTCTACCTATTTGGCTGGAATGGAGCAGAATCTAACCTTGTGATAGACCAGATCTCAAATGACTTGGAATCAGGGAATAATAAGAATCGAGAGAGGAAATAAATAGCAAGAGATGGGAGAAACCAAGAATTCATAAGCAAAGTATTATCAAACTCAACAGAAAGCATGAAGAGACACTTGGGATGGAGGACTGAACTAACTGTTCTTGTAAAGAATGTTTCTATTTTATCAAATGATTGATAAAATTTTGATGATGGTCCCCCAAAAAACCCACTCAAAAAAAAAAAAAAGAAGAACCCACTGGAAAAAGCACAGTGATGAAGAAGCAATGAACCTTCTTGCATACTCTAGGCCAAACCTTCACAAGCTCAGCCTAACTAGACTTTGCAGGATGGCGGTGAGGAAAATGCAGGCCCCCTCCTACCATTCCCTGAGCACAAAAATGGAACGCAAATGGCGTCTGGCTTCCTGCTTTTACAAAAATAGATCAAGGGTAAGTTGTACATGAAGGGAAAAGGCGTAAGGGCCGGACACCATGCATGTATGGCTATTCTATAAATATATGCCAGCTAACCCTACATTTCACACTAGTTATCTGGAGAAGGGGTGCAAATGGGAATCGGAAGCCCAGATCAAGCACATAATGGAGTTGAGAGGACAGATGGTTAAAAGAACGCCTCTCTCTCTCTTTTGACGCATACAAGATTACCTCCTAGTGGAGAGAGAGAGAGAGAGAGCGCTAGGCTGGCGACTTACATAACCCAGGTTGAGTATGATCAGATAAAAGTCGCGTGAAGGAGGCCACCGCCATTACACAAATGGGATAAGTCAGATGTTGCAAGAAAACTTAGGGACGGGAGGAGACCCGGATGCTCAGGTGATCCTGAGTTGGCCAAGGGATGGTGGCTGCAGATGGAAGGAAGCAAAAGAGAACAATGTAGCTTGGAGCAAGCATGCATTGACGAGCAAGATGAAGCCAAGCCAATTGAAAAAGCTGCATTCCAGTCAAAAGAATCCACCCTTGTGTGCAGTAGATTCTCTGTTTCTTCAAGGGACCTAATCCCCAAAGCTTAGCCTCACATTTGAACCGACTCAACATTCTGGAATATCCCAATTTGCCAACTTTGGAACAAGAGGGCTCACTTTTATACGCCTTTCTAACTGCTCCTGTTCTACTCTTCTTTTAGACCCTATTCCTCCTTAGGGGTAAGGAGCAAGTACAGACCCCTTCAGTGCCCTAAAAGCCCCTCAGGGGAAAAAAAGGATATTCCACTTTCACCCCATGCACCAGCTTTTTCCTATCTCCCTGGTTCCATTACCACCACCAGATTCCAGCTGGATATCTGAAGGAAGAATTCCGAGAATCCCACCTGGACTTAACCCTTATTCATAGCCATGGCTGACTTCACCCGTTGATGCAAGACTCCTTAAGTCATAGGGCTCCCAAAGCAGAATCCCAAATTGCACAAATCAAAGCAACCTGCCTCTATGGCTTAGCACAAGATTGAAAAGGAGAAGGCGATGACTTGATGCCGCAGAATGAGGTGGAGTCCAATGCCTTGGGACATCCCCACCTCTTTTTTCCATCCTTCTTGCTTCCTCCCTTCCCAAGTATCACTGAACCAGTGCCTGCCTTGGAGTTTACTTCCAATCCTCGAGAGAAACTGCCTACTTTCTAACTCTATAAAGCAAAATCTTGTCTTCTGAACAAGACCATCTAAAAACCCAGAGCGGATTTCGAGAACAACTGTTTCCTGTTCTAGCAAAAACAAAAACCCCACCCCACCCCATAATAAAATAAATAGTGCCCGCCCCACCCTCAATAACCTGAATTCTGGAATTCTGTGAGCCCTCTGCAATCATGCATTGCTGAGAAGGGGAATCACAGCCTTTGTTAAGAGTGCACATGCAAAAAAAAAAAAAAAGGACAATTTCTGAATTTTCCCAGTTCCCAAGAGATTTGATCAAGGGAATTCAGTTACTTAGGGATATCAACCCCCCCTTCCCCCACCCCCAGGTTTGATCTAACTATCTAGCTAAATGTTGCTTCAAGAAGTGAGAAGAGAGAAATGTTACGCTGCTCCCTGGCTGTGGCTGTGTTGTTTTTTTTAAAAAAAGGGGGGGGGGGACAAAGAAAGAAAAAGAAAGAGGGACGGGGAAACCCATCGCCGGCGACGAGTGCGTTCTTCCAAGCCTCACCACTTTTGGAAGTCAAGGGTGAAGATAAGCGCAAATGGTTGAAGGACAAAGACAGAGGTATTCTTTCAAGAATATGCGGCCATATTTGTCCCCTGACTGGAGGCGCTTGAGTTGGCGTCCCACCCTCCGAGTGTGTAGCACAAAAGACAGTATATAAAAGACAAGAGGTCTGTATTCCCTCCTCCATATCCACTGATGATGACATTGGAGCATTTTCCTTCCAATACAGAAAGGAAATTCAAGGATGGAGAAAGCCAGCATTTGGGGAAGAAAGAGATGTCCCAGACATGCTAATTTTCTATGGGCAGGGTTTTTTTTTTTTTTTTAAATATATGGAGGTGTGTTTTATGGTGAGATAGTCATTGGAAACAAATTGATTGCCTCTAGCAAAAAAAATAGCCCCAAATCAGGTTACCCTTCAAGCTGCCTGACGGGTTTATTCATCTCTCTGTCTTTCATTGATGAGAATTGCTCTGAGGATTGGACCAAGGGGTATCTCACAGAGGCCCAAATCAAGTTATCTCAGAAGTCATCTCACCTCAAACACCCATTCTGTTATTTCCAGGAGGAGGAACACTCTGTGATGGACCATCTGATCTACTGGCTTCACTGGTGCCAGCCAACTGGGCAACCTTTCCTGCCAAGATGCAGGATTCTGTCCTCCTCAGGGACAAAGGCCAGCATGTACTGCACGTGCCAAGTTTTCTTCTCCCCAACATTAGCCTGAATTGACCTCTGTCTTCACCCCACAAGGATTGCGTCCTCATCTTGGAAGTGGCTGAGTTATGGCTTGAACCAGCTAAGCTAACCTCATTCCCATCAGTCCTCACCAGAGGAAGCATTTGGCTTGCAGGAACCTGGGAGGGAGGGAGGGAGGGAGGGAAGTCCCTCTCACCCCCCCCCCTCACCTCCCCAACGCTTCTTGATCCACGAACTGCAGCATGTGCTGAGAAGACACCCAACTGGCAGCCCAGCTGAACTTAACCCCTGCCTGGTCCACGCTCAAAACGGGGCTATCTCATTCCGGGCCATGTGTTAACTGTGTATTATGCGTGTACGCTTGTGTGTCTCGTGCGTCCGTTTCCCCCCTCCAATCTGATCTGGGATTCCTACTGCAAGCCGGTTCTGCATTGCCGAGAGTGCACCCAAGACAAAGAAAAGAGACAGATGCAGGGAGATAGAGAGAGAGAGACAGAGAGAGAGAGAGAGAGAGGTTAAGAATAAGCCTCCATCCGGTTCGGTTTGGGATCGCTTTCCAAATGTAGCTTCGCTTCCTTCCTCCCACCTTCCTAAGCAGGTTTCACCTCCTGTTTTTAGGCCTGGAGAGACCATTTAGACAGTCAATTGCTGTTTTTTAGGGGGGCTGGGGAGGGAAAACCGAAGGGCCGATTTCAGCTCAGATGCACCCACTCCACCTGAACCAAATGCAAAATAAAAAATAAAATCTGATCCCAGTTGGTTTTTTAAGGGTCCTCTCTCGCTTCTCCTCCTCCTCCTCCTCTCGCTGTGCAGCATTCAGCCCATCCATCCGCTCTTCAGTCAGCAAATCCCCCCCCCCGCCATTCTCCCAAAACACACGTCTAGAGTTCGTTTAATTTCCTTGTTTTTGTTTTTTTTCCTTGGGCTCAGTTCAGCTTCCTTAAAATTTTTGACCCGAATGCGGAGGCGAGGCAGCGGGGTTTGCCGAAGTTCTCACTAACACTCATCTATGTTAAGGCTGATGAACTCCTGTATACATTTTCGGTACTGAAGCTCTGTAGGGCTATTGTTGGTATATTGACCTGGATGCCCATAGGGGCCCTCAGCTTCACGCATCTCTTCGTTCATCCGAGCCAGACGCAGCCTGTAGAATGAGGACCAGAGAGGAATGTTAGTCAGCCAAGGGAGGGGGGGGGGTGGCGGTGGAAACGGGCTCTTGGCTCAAACAGGGATGGCACAGGCAGTCGGGAGTTAAATCCTTCAGCACTGGGGAAGCAGCACAGTGGCTGAACAGCAAATAGCAATAGCACCTAGACTTATATACCGCTTTACGGGGCTTTGCAGCCCTCTCTAAGCGGCTTACAGAGTCAACACCCAACCATCTGGGTCTTCATTTGACCCACCTCGGAAGGACGGAAGGCTGAGTCAACCTTGAGCCAGTGAGATTCGAACTGTCAAATTGCAGGCAGCCGGCAGGCAGCAGAAATATCCTGCAGTATTGCAGTCTAACCACTGTGCCACCCCAGCCCTTCCTTCCTTCCTTCCTTCCTTCCTTCCTTCCTTCCTTCCTTCCTTCCTTCCTTCCTTCCTTCCTTCCTTCCTTCCTTCCTTCCTTCCTTCCTTCCTTCCTTCCTCCCTTCCTCCCTCCCTCCCTCCCTCCCTCCCTCCCTCCCCTTCCACTTTCTCCTTTCCTTCTTTAGCACTTGGGACAATCTGGGTCCTCATTTGACCCACCTCGGAAGGACGGAAGGTGGAGTCAACCTTGAGCCTGGTGAGATTCAAACTGCCAAATTGCAGGCAGTCAGCAGTCAGCCGAAGGAGCCCTGCAGTATCGCACTCTGACCCCTGCGCCACCGCAGCTCAATGAAGACAGTGGTCTGTCAGAGCTAAGCCACAATTCTCTCTTTCTTTTTTTTGGCCATAACTGGCCCAATCTATCCCTGGGCTGTTGAGTTTCCAAGGTCAGCCACTTCCATCCCCCAACATGCATTTCACCTCCGGTGGAGGAAGGACACACTTACAAAGTCACGATGTCCGCATTGGCAGCCTGGACAGCGATACTGAGGGGGTCCTGCCCATCCTCGTCCACTGCGTGTTGGTTGGCTCCTCTCTTTAGGAATAAGCAGACCTGGCTGCCAAAGGTTGAAAGGGAAGAGGAAGAGAGAAAAAACCAGAGAGAGGAAACGTAGGTCAGGCCAAGAAGCACGCTGGGGCGGAGAAGGAGAGTTTGAAGGGATGGGTGACACCAAGGCTAAGAAGCACGAATGTGTCAGGCCAGACTTTCATAGGAAACTACTTTACCACTCTATAAAGCCTTAGTAAGGCCACACCTAGAGTACTGCATCCAGTTTGGGTCACCACACTATAAAAAAAAGATGTTAAGACTCTAGAAAAAGTACAGAGAAGAGCAACCAGGATGATGAGGGGACTGGAGATTAAAACACATGATGGACGGTTGCAGGAACTGGGCCTGGCTAATCTAGTGAAGAGAAGGACCAGGGGAGACAGGAGAGCAGCCTTCCAATATTTATGGAGCTGCCACAGAGAGGATGGGGGTCAAGCTATTTTCTAAAGCACCCAAAGGCCAGACAAGGAATAATAATGGATGGAAACTGACCAAGGAGAGATTCAACCTGGAAATAAGGAGAAACTTTATGACAGTGAGAACAATCAACCCATGGAAGAGAAGTTGCCCTCGGAAGTTGTGGGAGCTTCATCACTTGAGACTTTCAAGAAGAGATTGGACTGCCATCTGTCAGAAATGGTATAGGGTCTCCTGCTTGGGCGAGGGTTAGACCTATAAAGTCCCCTCCGATTATCTGTTATCTGTTACACTGGATTGGTTCCTCTCTTTAGACTTCCCACCTGCAAAGGACTACCACCTGGGTCAGATAACATCAGGAGTTGCTCTTCTAACTAACCCGGGTCAGTAGCTGTGTTCTCCGCCTCATTTACTCACAGGTCCTATTGTTGGCACGGGTCTGGGTCTCGCTCCAGTGCCTTGAAAACCAGCTAAGTGGCATATCCCATCTGTTGCTCCTCAGACCTTCCAGAGAGAATCAAGAGCATAGAGCAGGGGTCTTCAAACTTGGCAAATTTAAGACTTGTGGACTTCAACTCCCAGAATTCTTGAGCTAAACATGACTGCAGGAGGGATTCTGGGCGTTGAAGTCCACAAGTCTTCAAGCTGTCAAGTTTGAAGACCCTTGCCCTAGACCATTTCAATTGATCAATCAAACAGAATAGAGCTGAAAGGGACCTTGGAGGTCATCTATTCCAAACCCCTGCTCAAGCAGGAGGCCCTAGTCCAAGGGTCTTCAAACTTGGCCAGTTTAAGACTTGTGGACTTCAACTCCCAGAATTCCTGAGCTAACGTGACTGGAGGAGGAATTCTGGGAGTTGAAGTCCACAAGTCTTAAAGCTGTCAAGTTTGAAGATCCTTGGCAACATCTACTGCAAACAGCCGTTGACTTCCTCAGGGTCCAGAATGTTGAACTACCACTTTCTTTTTTTTGCGGGTGGGGGAGCTGAAGGCACAGCAGGTGACTTACCCAGTGTGGCCCAAATATGTGGCATGATGCAAAGGCGCCCTCCCTCGGATATCTCTTTGGTTAACGTCTGCCCCATTTTGGAGCAAAAATTCACAAGCTATTAGTGAGCCCTGGAAAAAGAAGCAGAGAAAGAAAAAATTAGTTCTGGAGCCTTGGACGTCTCTTACATTATACAGGCAATCCTCAACTTAACCACAGTTCGTTTAGTGACCGTCCAAAGTTACACAGCACTGAAATGAGTGACTTATGACCATTTTTCACACTTATGACCTTTGAAGCATCCCCATGGTCATGTGATCAAGATTGAGATGCTTGGCAACTGTTTCATATTAACGACGGTCGCAGTCTCCTGGGATCACGTGATCCCCTTTTGAGGCCTTCTGACAAAGCAAAGTCAATGGGGAAGCCAGATTCACTTAACAACCTTGGGGCTAACTTAACAGCTGCAGAGATTTGCTTAACAACCGTGACGAGGACGATCGTATAATGGGGCAAACTCACTTAACAAATTTCTGACTTAGAAACAGAAATTTTGGGCCCCATTGTGGTCGTAAGTCGAGGATTATTGATATATCATCGTTTTAAGGAGAAAGTCCATCCCCTTCTGCTCCAAATTTGGAGATACACTTGGGATTCTCCTCATCTGAGTAGATCTTCTGGCCTACACTTAGCGACAGGCGGCGAAATCTAGCTGGAGCTGACGAAGGCCACTTAATGGCCCCCCAAGACAGCTCAGACCTGCTTTGCCCTGATGGCACACTCTTGAAACTGGGCCGGCGATGCGTGGATATCGCTCACCCCCATGACAGCTTGGATCAGCGGGGTTTTGCTCTCGTCCTCTTCATTCACCCAGTTGATGTTGGCGCCGTGGGCCAGGGCCTCCGCCATGACTGGCAGGTTCCTGGCCCTGGAAGCCTTGTAAACTAGCAACCCAGGATGGAGCTCCCTCAAGTCTTCCAAATCGGAGGCCTCCTGTTCAATTTCGACTTCTCCGCTGGATTCCTCCGACACTTCACACTCTGCCAAGGAGGAAGAGGAAGGAATGAGATACCGTCTACGGGGGAGATTCTCAGTCATCCAGGTCACGGTTTTCCCAAAGCCGCTTCCCCCACCCCCGTCCCCAAAAGGCAACTGGGCTTTTTGTTTTTGTTTTTCCCCTTGAAGAGGTTTCGCTTCCCGTGTCTGAGAAGCTTCATCCGTTCTGGAGAAGCTTCTTGGAGGAGAAGCGAACCAAACTGAAGAAGCTTCTTGGAGGAGAAGTGAAACGTCTTCAAGGGAAAAAAAACCAAGCCCAGTTGCCTTTTGGGGGAAAAAAAAAAAAAACCAGCTTTGGAAGAATGAGATACGGGTGACCAAGACTTCTGGAAGCATTGCATCTTCCCAGCAAGGTTAAAACGACTTTGCTACGCGAGGTATTCAGCTAGCCACGGTGGCCAATTGCTATTGATCGCATCATCCCTCTTCTCTGATCTCAAGTTGGCGGCCACGACTGTTGGATGTGGCAGCAGATGCTATGGCTGCGCTCTGCCTTGGGCAAAGGCAGAAGTTCCTGTGTCCCGTCTCCCTCTGCGGCTGAAGATCTCACCTTCTTCTGTGACACTATCAACCACCGAGCCAAACACCAAGACGTCTGTGCTCCCATCAGTGCTACCACCCAGGCCACTGTCGCTGCTTAGACCTATGGGAATCAAAGGAGGGACCATATATATATATATATATAGGTACCATAAAACTACCAGTCTTTCACTGTTTTGGTTAGTCAACTCTTCTGGTTGCCCAGAAGTTCTCCACATATCTGCCCTAAAGAACCTCTACCTCTTTCCTGAAAACATTTTCCTTCCCCCTCACCCTCCTACCAATCTTTTCCAAATTCCCCCAGGCCCGCACATTTCGTTTGAAATCCCTTTCCACCAGTGTGATTTTGTTTGCGGAAGGATTTGTAGATTGTGCTAAAACCTGGGAGCTTCATGAAAAGGATCCAGGCAGGCGAACAACCCCTAAACAACTGTCCTTAGCAGAGAGAAGGAACAGGGGGAAAGCCAGGAAGATGGACAGGTTAACAGAGTTGGAAGGGACCTTGTAGGTCATCTAGTCCAGGGATCTCCAACCTTGGCCACTTTAAGATGGGTGGACTTCAACTCCCCACCCCCCAATGCCCAAGAAGACCCTACACCTTTTTTGACTGAAAGGAAAGAGTTTCAGTCAGGGACACCATATAGAAGAGTACTTGGTTTGTCCTTTTAAATCAGTGAAATGAGCAATGGACTACTGTTATCCCTTCCCCTCAAGGGACTTCCTTAATAATCAGGATGGAGACTAATGAGTGAAGAGAGAAATCTGCCAGAGGAACTAAGTTTTGTCCAGGGGTGGGCTGCTGGGGGCTTGCAGGGGCTCAGGAGACTCTGTGGGGCTTAGAGTGCCCCCAATAACCTCAGAAAGAGTAGAATAATATAAAAACCCAGCACCTTTTCGAGGCATTTTTCCTTTCTGGGCGATTAGCCAAGAGCATTTCACACCTCGTAAAAGTGTCAAGCTAGATAAAGTGCTTGTCGAGGGCTAATTCCCAAATAATAAGAATCACATAACTGGCCAGAAACTCCACTAAGACTCCAAGATCCCTCTCACAGTCACTGCTATTAACCCTGGTTTCACCCAGTCTTTTATTTAAGTATTAAATGCACAAAATAATAAAACATCTTTTTGGTATATTATCTTTTTTTGGGGGTTAATTAGGGCAAAGAAGTGACATCGAGTTGGCCACACCTACCCAGTCACATGACCACCTAGCCACATGCCCACCCAGCTAGTCATTAGGGCAGAGAGCCCCTTGCTAAAAAATTTGAAGCCGACCCCTGGTTTTGTCCCACAGGGAAATCTCAGCTGTCTGGGTAGGAGGCCAATTAGCAAGCTAAGAAGTTATTAGGAGAGAAACATCCAGATTTTCAACCTGGTTATAATGACTACAGTTCCACTTAACTTTCATCAAAAATTTCTGTCCCGATCCCCCTCATTTCTCTGGGCTGCACTTGCCCATCTTGGCACATTTCAAAGACCAGGGTTGTCTCTCAACCAAAGATGGATTCCCCCGAAGCCGTTTCAAAGCCAGGCATTTCTGGGAAGGTGGCCTCAGAGCCTCTTGCTTTGAGGTTGCCAGACATACAGTAAGATCTTAGATATCCATGGTGACAAAGCCAGACGGCACTTGCCTCCATCCAGGAGAAAGGGTGAAGCGCTGCCTCCAGGGCCATTGCTGGTCTCGCTCCATGGGCTGGCTCCCACGGGCTGTTGAGCTGACGCCGGATTCCCACCTTGGGAGAAGGAGGTCAGAAACATGGCTATGGGCATCCAGAGCCCATTTTCACCGTATTGCAATTTATATTCCCCCCCTTTTTTAATGCAGCAAACAGATTTTGTTCTTCGCGGAGGGAGAAAAAGGGAGTTTGGGGAGAGGGAGAAAGAAAGCTAACCAGCTGCTTAAATCCGGCACAAAACAAGAGAGGAGGGGAATCCCAGCTACTGAATTTGAGAAAGTCCAGAAAAATCCACGTTTCTCCCTTTACTGCTGCCCTCTCGTAGCTGAGCATCGAGGGACCACAGATCAATCTACCACACTTACTGCGTGGACCGGCTCCTGTGTCAAAATAGGAGAAGAGGGAATCCAGTTCGTCAGGACAAAAGAGGGAATCTCGCCGGAACTTCCTTTCCAAAGTGGCGGCTATTTGAAAAATAACTTGATTACTATTTTTCTAACATAGAGACACATACAAATAGCTGTATTTATGAAATAATTGGAAAGCCAGGATTTTTTAAACTGTGGTTTATTGGACAAATCACAATGCTAGGGTAGCTTGCTGACAATGACTTGTTACTGACAGAGCCCAACAAGCCATATCCAAACCACGTTAGATCACAGCATGATATGTGAACCACTTCAGCTTGTGTTTCAGGAATCTGCAATGGAGTGACTTTGGCTAATTCCAAACCTGGTTAGTTCTTGGATGAGAGACCTCTAGGCAATCACAAAGGCAAGACTGGAAAATTTAAAAGAAAAAAAAACGTTCTTCAAGAAAACAAAAGCAAGCTGCTTCTGTTTCCATGCCACTGCCAAGAACTCTGCGTTATTGTGTTCGTGTTGTCATCCAGCATTGTCAAAAGATCATTACTTGCCAATACAATGTAAGAACAAATTTCTAATCTTCACTAAGTGTCAATATATTTGAAAGAACTGAAAGCAAATCCTGAAATCAGGACGAACAAGCTACAGGACTTAAAAGGAGTCGTATGTATGCCAGGAAGTGCTATAAACTTAAATATGCTAAAAAAAAAATCACATTACAGATAATTGTCAGCTTTAGTGACTGTTCAGAGTTACAATGGCACTGAAAAAAAAAAAGGACTTATGACCTGTTTTCACACTTATGACTGTTGCCGTATGTCCCCACAGTCGTGTAATCAAAAGTCAGCCCCTTGGCAATTGGCATGTATCTGTGACGGTTGCAGTGCAAGCACTGTCCGTAACTTTCCCCCAACAAGCAAAGTCAAGTGAGAGAAGCCAGATTCATGCCTCGCTTAGTGATGGAAATTTTAGGCTCAAATCGTGGTCGTATGTTGAGGGCCACATCTGCATTCTCAGCTCCGCATATTTCAGGATGAAATCAATAATAAATGTCATCAAAAAAGCACAACAAAGAATGTTCTTTCTGCGCCAATTCAGAAAGCCCAAGGAGCTGCTGATCCAGTTCTACAGAGGAATGATGGAGTCTGTCACCTGCACCTCTATAACTGTCTGGTTTGGTTCTGCAACCCAACAGGACAGACACAGACTTCAGAGGATAATTAGGACTGCGGAAAATAGCAATTGCTACCAACCTGCCTTCCATCGAGGACCTGTATCCTGCACGAGTCAAAAAGAGGGCTGGGAAAATGTCTACAGACCCCTCACATCCCGGACATAAATTGTTTCAACTCCTACCCTCAAAACAAGGCTATAGATACAAGAACAGTTTTTCCCCGCATGCCATCCTTACAATTTATATTGACTGTTTCCTAGTATGATTCGATTGCTTATTGTATTCTATGACTATTATTAAGTGTTGCACCTGATGATTCTTGACTCTTGGCGAATGTATCTTTTCTTTTATGTACACTGAGAGCATTGGCACTGAGACAAATTCCTTGTGTGTCCAATCACACTTGGCCAATAAAGAATTCTATTCTATTCTATTCTATTCTATTCTATTCTATTCTATTCTATTCTATTCTATTCTATTCTATTCTATTCTATTCTATTCTATTCTATTCTATTCCTCTACTCTACTCTACTCTACTCTACTCTACTCTACTCTACTCTATAATTTTATAATCCTGTTTTTCCCACCCTTCTCTCTAGGGATATCTGCCGGAACCATCCATCAGGCCCTACCTGAGGTGGATTGCCCTACCTGAGGAGTGGGCAGCCGGAGACGCGTTTCCCGCCTCGTGCCGATACTTCCTACGAGTCGTGGGCACTTTGGTGGTGCTATTGCACCTCTGGCATTTCTTCACGCTCCAGCGACGGGGCTTCTGCTCATTGTCGGCCAGGGGCCCTCCAGAAGGTAACTTCTTCAGAAACTTCTTCTCCACGTATTTGACTTTGATCCATGCTTCTTTGTCCTGCCTGTGAGGAAACCATTCCTCGTGTCATTCAAAGTCTGAGTTTGCACACCGGACGCGCACAATGGATCGTAGGTTAGGGATTTCGATCTCTTTGTTGGTCACTGGGCATGGCGACTTACGGTTCGATATACCCCAGGAAAAACAGTTTAATCCACGACGTGTGTTGTCTGAACACAGCAACAGCACAGATCGTCTTACAGCTGTTAATTTAGTGACCGTTCGAAGTTACGAATGGCACTGGAAAAAAGTGACTTATAGCCATTTTTCCCATGGCCATTGCAACATCCCTGCATCACATGATTTAAATTCAAACGCTTGGCAACTGGCATGTACTTATTGTCAGGATTCCAGCATTTAACCCCATTTAAATCACGAGTCTCGAGCCAAACTTCCAAAACTTCCAAAGGATTTATTGGGAGTTAACATGTCCGGCACTGCCTGGGTGCAGCCGACTCTGGGACACATCATTCATTGTCACCCTTTTCCCTATCCCCTGGTTGTGTCATAAATCATATTCTCCAATGGGACATATCCATAGCTAAGAGTCATCAATTATGTTCTCCAGTTAGATATTCGCATGGCAGAAACTTCAGTCACCTCGTTACTATCTTTGAAAAACTATGTATGGAATGCACTTTTGGTTTCCAAGCTGCCGCACTGCTCTTTCAAACCCCTTTCCCCCCCTCCCTTTCTGTTGGCAACTCTAAAAAGACCATAGAAATATTTTATGACTTGACACTTATGACAGTTGCAGACTTCCAGGGTCACATGATGAGCAACGTCAATGGGGAAGCCAGAATCACTTAGCCATCATTACTAACTTAACTGCAGTGATTCACTTAGCAACCATGGCAGGAAAAGTCATCAAACGGGGCAAAACTCGCTTAACAACTCTCTCACTTAGCAAGGGAGATTTTGGGCTCAGTTGTGGTCATGAGCCGAGGGTTACTTGCGTATGCAGGAAAGGAAAGTTGGTTCGCTTTAACCCCCGCAACAAACTTGAGTTACTTAAAATACTGGTTTGGCTGTAAGCTGGGAAGCAGGCTTGCCTGCTAATTCACGTGGCGGAATTAAAACATGGGTAGCAGGGAGAGACAGGAAAAGCTTTACCTTGAGCTACCAGCTGTCGGCTTTTTCAGCCCCATTTCCTCACACTGCGCCTCGTAGATCTGGTTCATGGTAGCGTTGCCCAGCTCACACATCAGCTTTTGAACAGGACGTTGAAAAGAAAAAAAACAGGACAGCGTGTGAACTGAAGTTGCTCGTTCGGCTTCTCCGTTTACGTACAGTCAGGGGGGTCTTTCAACTTGGCAGCTTGAAGACTTGTGGGACTTCAACTCCCAGAATTCCTGAGCTAACGTGACTGGAGGAGGAATTCTGGGAGTTGAAGTCCACCAGTCTTAAAGCTGTCAAGTGTGGGGACCCCCGTTCTAAGACACCCCTCCTTAGTTCTAGGTTGCTTCTCTCCTTGGTTAGTTTTCATCCATTGCTTCTCGTCCTGCCTTCAGGGGCTTTGGAGAATAATTTGACGCCTCCCCTCTTCTTTGGGGCACCCCTTTAGATATTGGAAGGCTGCTAATCATGTCACCCCTAGTCCTCCTCTTTGTAAGGCTAGACATACCTAGTTCCCTTAACTGGACATTGTACATTTTAGTTTCCAGACCCCTAATCCTCTTTGTTGCTCTTCTCTGCACTCTTTCTAAGGCAGAGGGCTTCAAACTTGACAGCTTTCAGACTGGTGGACTTCAACTCCCAGAATTCCTCCTCCAGTCCATGTTAGCTCAGGAATTCTGGGAGTTGAAGTCCACAAGTCTTTTTTAAAAATAATAATCTTTATTACACATTTTTCAAACATTTACACCACATTTCCATTTCTGACAGTGCTTCAGAGTCAGCTTCTTTCATTTTTATTCTCAATTCGTGGTCTATTTCTCTAATATTTTTACATTTATATTTACCTTTTATATACATTTCCTGCAGCTTTTAAGTAATTTTTATACATATTCTTTACTTTTCTCCTCTAGCCACTCACACCACATGTCCCAAATCTTACAATATTACTGTTTCTTCCTCGTCTTTTAACTCCATCGTTAATTTATCCATCTCTGCACATTCTCTGCACACCATATCTTCTGTAGGGGGTGTTGGTCTGTTTCCACTGTTGTGCGAAAAACAATTCTGGCCGCCCTCAGCATTTGGAGTATGATATATTGATTGATTTATTTTTTTACTCAAACTGTCCTTTATTATACCAGGAGTTGAAGTCCACAAGTCTTAAACTTGCCAGGTTTGAAGACCCTTGAGATACAACAACACCCTGTTTCAAATCACATCATGGGGTCTTCTCAGTCGGGGATGCCCTCATTCTGGGATGGTGCCCCTTAGAGGGGCTCACTCTGGTGCCTTTCTTTGATTTCAGGACTGGTCCTTTTTTTGCCCGGTTCAAACCCAACGCGCTTAAATAGAATAGTAGTTCTTAAGCTACGTTTTTTTTTCCTCCTCGAAGCTGCAAGACTTAATGCAGTGATTTTCAACCTTGGCACCTCGAAGAGGTGCGGACTTCAAACTCCCAGGTTTCTTACAGCTTCTTCGAGGTGCCAAGATGGTTTCCTTTTATTTATTTATTGAAGTGAATGCAAAATGGAGTGTCTTCCTCAAGAGCATCTGTGCACTGTTGTTCTACTCAAGGTGTGGCTTGGACCTTCTTTTCCCCCCCTCTCCCTCTTTTGACTACATCCCTTTTAGGTAGTGGGGGGGTTTGGTCTTTACCTTCAATAATTCTGGCTCCCAAGAATCCAACGTGAGCGACCGCACTTTGGAGCAATGAACTCCCAAGCTCCTGTAGGGCAAAAATGGAAGAGAAGTGGTCAGCTTCCCCTGCTGCTAAGCCAAGTCAAGTTCTAATTGACGATTCAACTGGCACGTTCGTTCTGAAATAACTCTTTCACGTGGCAAGAGAACAGCCTCCTGGGCCAGCTAAGAAGCTGGAGGAACTTTGATCTTCTTAGCACTCAAGGAGGCATGCATGAAAGTACCTGTGGGGTCCCTGACACTCTCTGATCTTGGTGATTTTCTTGCAGACGTTTCATTACCCAACTAAGTAACCTCATCAGTATGAGCCAGTGGTGGGATTCATATTTTTTTTTACTACCGGTTCTGTGAGTGTGGCTTGCATGGCAGGGGAAGTTACTGCAAAATCCATTCCCTCCCCACCCCACTAACCTGCTTTCCAGCTCTGTTCTCCTGTGCAGGGCAACCAAAGAAGACCCAGCCGTTCAGCTGGGACTCAATGGGAGGCAGAGAAGAGATGGGGTTGGCGGGGCCAGTCGGGGGTGGGATTGGCTGGTTCTCCGAACAACTCAAAATTTCCGCTACCGGTTCTCCAGAACCGGTCAGAACCGGCTGAAGACCACCTCTGGTGTGAACCCTACACTTCCTTACAGTTATGGTATTGCCTAATTGGGTAATCAAATGTCTGCAAGAAAACCATCAAGTTCAGGGAGCACCAAGGACCCCACTGTCCTCCTCTTCCTCCTCCATCACTATCATCATGACCACCAACAACAACAAGGCTCCTCCAACCCCACTCCCTTCTAGCCCTGATGATGTTATCTAGTTGAGTAATGAAACGTCTGCAAGAAAACCACCAAACTCAGAGAGCACCAAGGACCCCACAGTCCTCCTCTTCCTCCACTCTGTCACACTCCGTTCCTTTCTAGCATTGATGATGTTACTTAGTTGGGTAATGAAACGTCTGTAAGAGAGCACCAAGGACCCCACAACTGAACCCTGAGCTACAAATATTCTCTTATATAGTGTGGAAAATACCTGTGTATCCCTGAACATTCAATGCATAGTAAGATGCCCAAGTTGATGCTCGCCCACCGGGGATCGGCCTGCCCGCAGTCACAACACTGGTCATTGCCCGAGATACTCTGCACCCTCTGCAGGATCGTTTCCCCTTTCCCACTTCGGTCCCGGGAATCGGAGGCGGAATCGATACTGCTGGTCGAAGGGGAAGCTGTTCGATCCAATTTCTGGAGTAAGAGAAAAGCCAAAATCGAAATACCAAGCAGGGATACGGCTTGTCAAGCATCTCTCAAGGGGAGTTCCTTTGCTTTTTTGATTTCTCTTAATTACAACCAAAAAAATATTTTGGTTTCATTTTCAAACTGGACGCTGATTGGATGCAAATGCCTCCCGTTGTTCTGAAGTGGAAAGGGATGCCCCATATCTGTTGTCTAATTTCTAGGAAGATTTTATGAGTATGTGTCAGAGTGCGCACAGTGTGACCGTCGCGACTCCAACAAATCCACCCCTGTTCAAATCATAAGTCTCTAGCCACATCTCAAAGAAAAGAAAATTAGCCATCAATTTGTTTTTTTATGTGCGTCGTCACCTTCAAGAAGCAAGGGGAGACGAATGTCAATTCATAAAACATGGATGTATATTCTCCAATGGGACACATCCATAGCCAAGAGTCATCAATCATGGTCTCCAGTAATATTCTTGCGCTCCAACAACTTTGGGCTGCCAGGGCGATTATCTAGGCACTTGAGGAATGCACTGTTTTCCCCAACTCCCTTTCTGCTGGCAGCTAAAAAGACCAAAGGAGTATCTTTTTAGTTGACAGTGACTATGTGAGACAACCCAGGAGCAAATACAGTAAACAGGTTTGTATTTAAAGTGTGGTTTTATCTACAAAGAATATATACAGACACGCACTTTAGTCAGACCTCAAACAAACAGCAATCAGCAATTACAGCACAGAAGCACACAGGGGGAGAGAGAGAGAGAGAGATATGGCCCATCAGGGCCTCTCATTATTACAGGCTCTTAAAGTGATACCAGCCCCCAAACCTTGCTGACTCATTCCCAGCATGACATCATCATAACAGCTGGTCAAGCTCTTGAATCATTACCCTGACAGTATCTCTGTGAGAGATTTATGGGTATGACTCCTACAAGCCTTCTGGCTGGCCACTGTACTCACTTCAATGTAGCAGCTATCAGGGCTTTCCCGATAAGCGGAAGCGATGCTCGCTTGGACAGCCTGGATCCATGCTTGGCGCAGTTTCTCTGAATCGGCTTGCAACATGCAGCTCCTGCAGCGGGAAAAAGGAGAAGAAGCTGCTTACCAGGAGAAAGAGAATCAAAGTCTGGTCCAATGTGGTTCTCCTGTCCTGTTTTGACACCAGAAGATTAATTCATTTCCCCTCCGCTTATTATTTATCGATTACGTCTGGCGCAGCAGCGCCGCCTGCGGTTCAATCTAAGTCTGGTACACAAAATTGTCTGCTACAACGCCTTGCCTGTCAACCACTTCTTCGGCCTCAATCACAATAACACACGGGCAAACAACCGATTACAAACTCAAGGTAAATCGCTCCAAGCTCAATTGCAGAAAATATGACTTCAGCAACAAAGTGGTCAACGCCTGGAATGCTCTACCCGACTCCGTTGTAACAGCCTCAGCCCCTCACAGCGTCAACCTCAAACTGTCTACCATGGACCTCACCCCATTCCTAAGAGGTTCTTAAAGGGGGCGTGCATAAGCGCACCAGCGTGCCTACCGTCCCTGTCTCACTGTCCCCATTTATCTGTATTTACTCCCTTGTTTTTGTTTATGTTCATACTTGTTATCTTGCACATATTTGACAAGCAAATAAAAATAAAATAAAATTTGGAGGCAAATTAGGTTACTTTGGTTAAACACAACAGCTCTTGACGGTTAATGCCTACACCGTGCCCCTCCAAAACTGGGATTTGGAGCAGTGTGTGAAAGTATCCCATTACAGCTTGGTTAACAAGCCATGGTTAAAGAAATCATGATTTGTTGTAACAAGCCAAGCCAGAGGGAGTAAGGGAGAAGCCACTGGACTCTAAAGGCATCCTTCTGACAAATTGCCTGTCGTATGAGTTCTTGTGTAAGGACTAAACCAGGATCAAGATAGGTTGAGGACCATCAGGGCTTTTTTTAAATGTGAGAGACATGGTTTCTTGTTTAGCTGGAGAAACTGTTGTGAAGCAAAAAAAAGCAGAGGGATGCACAAGGAAGCAGACATTCTTCTTCTTCTCTCCCACGGCCCCTCTGGCCACTTTACCTGTCATCAAACACCAAAGCTTTCCCAAGAAACCTGCCTCCCCCTGTTTCCCCTCCATCTCCCTCTTTTCAAGACTGCTATTGACATGATGGAGCAAACGACACAAGGGTTTCCCCACCCGCCCCCATCTTCTTCTAAGGAACCCGTCACTTACTTGGTGGGAGAGACCACTTCGAAACAAAACCTCCGTTCTATGTCCTCACAAGGCTTGACTGTGCAAAGGCGGAGGTCTTCCACCACCACTGTGAGGACATCCTGGAAGGGGAAGGACGAAACATCTGGGTTAAGGCTCCCTGCAACTGGATTTCCTATGGCTAAAGACAGCAGTAGACGCTGAAACAGTGTCCATTTATTATAAATATATTTTGGAATAGTGAGTCAAAACACGGGATTCATGGCCCACCTCCATACAATAGAATTCTTAAGTCCTGTGGATCATTGCACCAATCAGCTCAGATAACCCTAATCATTGAAAATAAGAAACTAACCTTGAGCTTCTTCTGGTACACCAGCTGGCTATTTTGTATGGAGAACCACCTCCTGCAAAGAGAAACAAATAGGCAGAGGAGAAATGAACAAAGGAGAACAAAAATAGCTTTGAAAGAGGATGGACAGCCATCCTCTGGCCTTTCAGAACAAACGGGAGACTTGGAAAAGATTCTGAACATGACAACTAGAAAGCTTTTAGAGGCTGCTGCGGTACGGTACAGTGTTGGCTCCGACAGACAGTTGTCACATCCATTTAGCATGGCCTTCCACCACCTGGTGTGATGGTAGGTGGAGGACAGAAAGAAGAGCCACAGACCAGGCAATAACCAGATGAGCCAGCAGAAAAGAATCTCAGTAGGTTTCTTCAATGACAGAAGGGGGGGAGGAGATATACTTTCAGACTTGCAAAGCGTCAGCTCATAAAACATTCCGATGTCTGTTTTAGTAGTTGCCATAAAAAAAGGGGGGGGGGGAGCGAAAGTACATTCCAACTCTTCTCTTTAAAAGACTGTAACTAAAATACCAGAGTTTTTGCCCTGGAATATATTTAATTGGCGAACGTGAATGATGACACCCAGCCTGTGAAGCTGCTCAATTGGAGAATCTGATTTATGACATACCTGCGGGGGTGGGGGGGTGGGAAACAGGGTCACAGGGGACTGTAAATGACGTATGCCAGAGTTGGCTTCATACCAGGGCAGTATGTTGCCTCTAATGAATCCTTTGAAGTTTTTTGAAGTTTGGCTTGAGAATCATGATTTAATTTAGGGCAATTGCTGGAATCCTGACAGCAAGCCAACTCTCATAATAAATCAATATTACTGGGGTTCTGGGTCCCGGCCTCTCCGATCGCTCCCCAACATCTGGGGTGCGTGGAGAGAAACTCAGGCAGCTATGGGGGGAGATTGGGCTATCAGAAGGAGAAACTGATATACCCTTACACTCTTAATATACCCTTTATAATAAAGTTAGAGCTAGCACTTCTGGGGTTGTTTGCTTCCTGTCTGGACAACCTCATAAGGTCTTTACAAGTGATGAGGTGGTGATTTCTAGAACTCCCAGCAACCATCTGAGGGGGAACCAGAGTGGAAAAGGATGGCTTGAATGGGTTCAGCTTCAATATAGATCTGGGCAGGGCAGGGAAGTGAAATGGATTAGTCCATAACAAGGGATTTTTTTAAAAAATCTGACTTGATTCTTCCCATCCTTGGTTCTAAACACCCCCCTCCATCCACGATGCCTCCATTTTGGAGCCTCTTCCCCATAGCTCACCGATTCCAAGTCTTGAATGCATTGCTGGCTCTCTTGAAGAGGTATCCTTCCATCACTACTCCGTTGGGAGCGTCGACGTTGAATTCCACTTTGGATTCATCATAAGAGAAATCCTGAAGTACGGGGAGGAGGGAAAAAGAAAGGGAGCCAGGTAGTTGGGGGCTGCTTGGATGCAACAAGGCAACCCTCCACATCTTTACACTAACAAGGCTGTCTTGATTTGAGCAAGTAAGTAGGGATCATAGCCACAATCTGGATGAACGTTGAGCCAGTCCGTTAATGAAGCAGGCTGCAACCCTTTGGCCACCTTCATCCATTATATGCTAAGCCATCATCAGATTTGTTTGGTTTGGGGTTAGTGAGGAAATTGGAACCCCCAACCACAATTGCTGAGAATCAATGGCCACATGGGGGGGAGGGAAATGCAAAAATTGTAGCCATAGTCCTACAATAAGTCTACACAATAGAAACAACAATGGTGGAAGGGAACATCAACAACAACAGGAAAATCCCAGCCTCATTCATTTTGCAAAAAACATTCAGCCATGACTCTCTATCAAAATGCATTTTTACGAAAGGTTCAGATGCCCCATTCCTTAAAAAATAGATGTTGATCTAATTAAGCGTGGGTTTGTTTCAATAAATCCTAGTGAAGCCACGAGCAATCCAAATGTGCAAATCAAAAAGCCAGCAGAGGGCTTCGTGGTTCTTTTTAAGCCACATTGTGGCTTGTTTGGTTTGATTTATTTTTGTTTCCACATCTAAAATGTCTGTCCTACTTTATAAACAGCTTATGTGTATATGTGTGTGTGTGTGTGTGTGTGTGTGTGTGTGTGTGTGTGTATGTATATGTATATGTTTAGGGTCCATGCGTTGAGTGAATCCAGCCATCCCACATTTGAAAACCACACATTTGAAAACCACAATATATGATCTTGCCTAGTGTGGTTACCCAACCAATTTGATTTATTCTAGAAACCATGGCTTAAAGCAATATGGAAACCCTGCTCAGTGTATGCTGTTAAAACACAGGTCTGTCTCTCTCTGTCTCTCTCTCTCTCTCTCTCTCTCTCCCTCCCTCCCTCTCTTTCGCAAATCTCTATCTCAAAGAAATTAGTCCTCCAAATTAAAACTTCCCGGAAGACTGAAGCTGAGCCCTTTACACAGGAAGTCCTTGACTTGCGACCACAATTGAGCCCCAAATTTCTCTTGCTAAGCGAGAAAGGTTGTCAAGTGACTTTGTCCCCATTTTACAACCCCTCTTGCCACAGGTTGTTAAGCGAATTACTCCAGTTGTTAAGCTAGTAGACACGCTTGTCAGAAGATTGAAAAAGGGGATCACATCACCCCGGGACACTGCAACCGTCATAAATATGAACCAGTTGCCAAGCATCCGAATTTGGGCTGCTGAAAAATTGGAGCCTGCCACAGTTGTAAGTGCCACCTTTTTTCAGGGCCGTTGTAACTTTGATCGGTCACTAAACGAACCGTTGCACGTCAAGGACTACCTCTACTACTTTCTTCCCTCCTGGCTGCATCCATTCCTGCCTCTCCTTCCCGTTGCAGGGGTTCCTCCTCTTCCTTTCCAGGCGTTTGATTTGTTTGTTTATTGAATGTATTCATTGCCCATTTCCCAACGAAAAACCATCTTGGTGGCTCGACAAATAAAAACGGGAGGCCGAAGCAATAGAAAGTTGCAAGGCAAGGCTTTTCGCTCATTGGGAGCAGCGTGGCCTCCGGCATGCACAGTTGCTAGGCAACAAAACCATCCTCTCTGCTTAGGATGAGTGCATCTCTCTCTCTCTCTCTCACACACACACACACACACACACTCAACCCATAAAGCTGGCTCCCTCCGGCTCATGTCACACTAAAGAGAATCAGAGCAATATGACCGGTGTCCCCAATGCTCCCGAAGGATGCTTGGAACCTCCTGGCATTTCGACCAAGCTCCGACTTCCCTGGAATCAGTTTCTCTGCACACATCGCGGGAAAATGATTGCTTTGTTTTGGTTGTAGCCGTTTACAAAACCAAACCAAACCAAACCAAACACGGAACATTTAAAACCGAGTTTTCATTCCCCCACCCCACCCCCACAAGCAGTTGGTCCAAGTTTAGCGTTTGGGGATTTGGATGTTTGGCAAAATAAAAAATAAAATAAAAATAAACTCAGCCTTTTGAGCTTAATTTATTTTCCAAAGCACCAAAGACAAGACAAGAAGCAACGGGTGGAAACTAATCAAGGAGAGAAGCAACCTAGAACTAAGGAGGAATTTCCTGCCAGGGAGAAGAAGAATTAATCAGTGGAATGAGTTTCTTCCAGAAATTGTGAATGCTCCAACACTGGAAGTTTTTAAGTTTTTTTTTTCTGCACACCCACAAACTGTTTTATTACTCAGACAAGCAAGAGATGTAAAACTATCTTGGGGAACTGAAAAAAAAAAAAAAGAAATGAACAAACCAAGCTTGATTTGACAGGAAGGCAGGGAGCCTCCATTGCAAAACGGAATTCTTTATTGGCCAGTTGTGATTGGACACACAAGGGATTTGTCTTCGGTGCAGATGCTCTCGGTGTAAAATAAAATATATTTGTCGAATGGAAAGGAAGCCAAAATTGCAGATAATTCAGATGCAGCCACAATATGCTCAGGGACATTGGCCATAACAAGCACCCTCAAGAATTGTGTTAAGAGCTCTTTTTGTGAGTCCTTTTTGCCTACTACGTCATTAAATCACAGGCACTAAATACCCCATTCCCCAGCCTCAGCCGTTTCCAGTGCCTTTCCCCTTTCCTGTTTGATTTGAATTTATATAACAGTCTTGCATAGAGAAGGTTTCCAGCCCCCCCCCCTCCATCATATTGGACAATTGTTTCTATGGAAACATCAAATGCCAACACAAAGAGACCGCAAATTCTAAGAGAGCGACCAGAGGACAGAGATGATGCGAAATTCAAGGAGAGAGGAACAGGAGGAAAAATCAGGGAACTGTTTTCCCCTCAAGCACTAGCAGGAAAACACATGATTCCCACACACACACACACACAATTTTTTCCCCCTTCTGGTCCCCCCCTTCACCTCTGCCAGAGTTTCACCTCTCCCTTCCAATTTCACCCTCAAGTACAGAATCTGTTATCAGTCAAAAAATGATGAAGGAGAGAATAAAACCAAACAAAAAACAGAGATTTCCGGCCATGGAGAAATATTGTCAGAGAGGGAAAACAATGCCTGGATGACTTTTTCATCCCTGGGGTCAAAAATCAGCGGTGTGACTTTTGAGGGCTTCCTTGTTCTCTCCGTATTTTTCCCCCCCTGTATATCATATCCTTTATATTTAGCGCTCTTTTGCACAGCCAAGTTTTTACTATTGCGGAAAAAAAGATGCTGTAGGTTTCAGTTGTAACCATGCATATTACCCACCTCCCAATATTGGGGGGGGGGGATACCCTCGCACCTAGAAATCTAGATCTTGTCAGAGAGAAAAAACCCTGCCTTGCAGAGGACCTGGTTTGCTAGTTTTCTGTGTTAGGATTGCAAAGAAGGGATCTGGAGACCGCACAGGATCCAGCTAGCTTCTCCACCTTCCATGTCCTGGAAAAAGAGGAATTGGCATTTCCTTTTTATTCTTGCAATTCAATCATCTCTGGCACCCTCGATGCGATCAAAACGTAAGCCAAACATCTATGGAGATACTCAACCATCCAGGCCAGGATTGTCCCAAAGGTGTTGTTGTTGTTTTTTTCCTCTGCTCACAACAGAATACCCTATATCACCAGGTTTGAAATTTGGGGCTTGGACAACCTTGAACTACACCACCTACGGTTGGATTTAAGCACAGCACACAAAATTATCTGCCACAACATCCTACCAGTCCATGACCACTTCAGCTTCAACCACAACAACACAAGAGCACACAACAGATGCAAACTCCATGTAAACCGCTCCAAACTCGATTAAGGGAAATACAACTTCAGCAACAGTGTGGTCAATGCCTGGAATGCAATGCCTGACTCTGTTGTCACATCCTCTAACCCCCCCCCCCCATTCCTTTAACCTCAAACTATCCACTATTGACCTCACCCCTTTCCTAAGGGGCCTGTAAGGAGCGTGCATGAGGGCATCATCCCTGTCCTTTTGTCCCCATTTATTTGTACCTATTTCCTGTATTCTTGCTCATGTTTATACTTAAACCTATTCTCTTGTAAGCGATTGACAAATCAAATCAAATAAATAAAATAAAAGGCCATTGGACTTTCTGGGTTGTTTTTTTTCCCCCTTGAAAAATTTCACACCAGTCAGTTAGAACTGAAGAAGTTTCTTGGAATGAGAAGCGAAACGTTTTCAAAGAGAAAAAAAAAAACCAAGAAAGTCCAGTTGCCTTTTTTGGGGGTGGGTGGGGAGAACACCTTTGGGACAATATGAGCCAAAGCTCCCCTTCTCACTCACTTCCTCCCCCACCCCCAATCGCTGTTGGACGTCACAATGACATAATACACCATCCTTTTGTTTCTCCTCTTGACTTCCCCTGGCCGCCGGGATGATCAGAGTCAAACCAGCTGACCAATCCAACCTGGGGAAATGGGAGGAACTGGGGAAGCCCAGGGCCTCAGATGAGCAAAGGAGAAACCTTGTCTTGGTGGGACTGGTTCTCAGCCCCAAGTCTTCCCACATCCAAGGTTGCCAAAGGGAATCCAAAGATGCTCTCACCCCTTTGACAGGCAGCCCCTGAACCAAAGGCACCCCAGGAAGGGCCCACCTCTGGTTTCTCACATGCTTTCCAAGTGTGCTTTCCAAGCCCCCAGACCATGCCATCCATTTATAAAGGGGTGGAAAACCCAACCAACTCAACTGCACTAATGCCCCTTCTATCGTTCCGAAACCCAAATCGAGTCACACGGTCTGCTGTTTTTGCAGCTCCAGCTGGAGGGGGCCAAACCTTTCCCAGCCTCCTCCTCCTCCTCCTCCTCCTCCTCCTCCTCCTCCTCCTCTTCCCAACCCCAAGAAATGCCGTTCTCACACACACACACACACACCCTGTCCTCCTTTCCCTTACCAGAAGATACTCCAGTCTTCCAAAAATCTTCATGACGCCCCTGTTGTGCCGTGTGCTCCTGCTCTGCCAAGTGTATAAGCAGCCCCGCTCCAATCGGGTAATTCTACATGGCGTTACTAAGTGAGGAGGGTGTGTTTTCTCCTGCCTTCCTCCGTCCGCCCACCCTCAAGGCACCCGCTGCGCGTGCTGGAAAATCTTCCTTACATTGCTTTTATCACTATTATTATTATTATCATCATTATTTCCCCTCTCCCTTGCTCAAAGACTGGCCCACTGCGTCCTGTCGGAGCCAGAGATGCTGGGAGAGTGAAACCAAGGGGAGAGCTGGCCTGAGGACCACCTGCCCGTGTTCTTCCCCATTTCCCCACCCTCCCCCGATCCTCCCCTCCAGGGCCCACGGCTCCCCTTTCAGAATCAATCAGCTTAGTGCATGAGCTCATTTCCATATAGCTGTCGCCTCTGGATGGAAGTGGGGAAAGGAGAGAGAGAGAGAAAGAGAGAGAGAGGCAGGGCAGAGCCTACACACCATTAAAATAAATAAATATATCATGCCTTCTCATACACACACACCCAAAAAAAAGAACTCTGACCCTGCCAGAGATGTGAAGGGCCCCTAAGGCTGCCCGCTTCCTACTGAGGTTATGCCTCCTGCAAGCATGGGGGTGTTTCTCTCCCAGATCCCCCCCAAATTTACTCCTGCCCAGTTGGAGGCTCTGCAACAGGCCATATGGCCGGCCGGCAATATTGATTTTCTTTCCCAGTTCTTCTCTCTTCTAAATCGATGTGACAGGCCCAGTTTTCGTATCCTCACTTTCCTTCTCTCTCTCTCTCTCTCTCTTTCCCTCTTTTTCCCCACCTTATGCTTTCACATGCCGGGCAGGTCTCCAACTCCCCTATTATGTGTGTGTGTGTGTGTGTGTGTGTGTGTGTGTGTGTGTGTGTGTGTGTGATTCTATTGGCATCAAAGTGCACCTCTCCTTAAGCAATTTTGGGAATTGGAAAAAAAAAGGGAGGCGCAGAATCCCCTGCTGCTCAGTGTTGGGATTTTGTAATGGCTGATCATGGTTCTACATTTATGCGGATACATCAAGAGCTCTGCTGGGTGCAGTGAATTGTAGTATGAGCTGCGACAGCCAAATACAGCCTCGGCGCTCAGATGCAGTCTAGAACAGGGCGCTTACCTGGTAGGCAAACGTTAAGGCATCGCCAATCCTTCCAATTCTCCTGCTCCCATGTTTCTTCCTAATTTTTTTTTTTTTTGACCATTCCTGGAAGTTATCACTTTAAACTCGATAATCCTTCATTGAATCACATCCTGCCTTTTCGCAGAGGTCCAGGCAGATTAGCTAGCAACGTATCCCCTACCACCACAAGCCCATAAGGTTGGTTAGGCTGAAAGACTCAGCTTGCGCTCACTCAACGTGCTAAATTTATCCGTTTTTTTCCAAGCTCACAAAATACACTAAGCTACAAACGGATCACACAATGCTAACCGACACCAATTACTGTGGTAACTCCACGATGCCAGTGCTGCTGCATCTTGTTTAAATGATCCGTTTAAGGCTGAATTCTTTGAATTGGTCTCAAGCCATTTAATGAACTTCCACCGCTAAGGTGGCCACCCTTGTTCAACCCCGAAACAATAAACTAAACCAGCATCTGACTGAAGACAGAACAGGAAAAAAGAATGTGAGGCGTTTCGATTCATCTGAAATAAGTTCCCCAAGCCAAACGAAACAGAACTCTTCACCTGGTACTCACCTGTAGAAGAGTCTAGGTGGAACATTGAAGAGGAGCGAGGAAAAAAGGAAGAAAATGAAACAGCGTTATTGGAATCTGCTTGTCTGTAAAAAAAAACAAAAAACCCCTCAGGGATGCAAAGGTGAATATTTAGGCCATGGGTGCCCAACCTTGGCAACTTTAAGACTTGTGGACTTCAACTCCCAGAATTCCCCTCAGTCAGCATGGGAATTCTGGGAGTTGAAGTCCAGAAGTCTTAAAGTTGCCAAGTTTGGAGACCTCTGGCCTACATTTTTAACTTTTTTATGGACAGGAGGCTCAATGGACAATATACAGTAGATTCGTTTGGAGCTCAACTGAGCCATTGTGTTGTGATTTGCTGGCAGCATTGAGGTCTCGGAGAACGAGGACTCAGGTGAGGGGCCTGCGTGTGATGCAGGGATGAGGCCAGGACCATCAGGGAGTGAAGTGCTGCCTTCGGAGCTTGTGGAGGCTGGCAGCAGTGATGTAGAGGACCCCGAGGAGCCTGTGCCCAGTGTGCATGCGCGCAGGGCTGCTCGAAGGAAAGAGCAGCTGCAGCAGCACGGGCGACTCGGGAGTAAGGCTGCAAAGTGATGGCCCCTCCCTTAAGGGATAAAAGCCAGCCCTCAGAGGTGAGATTCTTTGCAGGAAGCAAGGAAGTTCTTGCACTTCAAGTCTTGTGGAAGTTCAGACTATCCTGGTTTGTGTTTGGAGACTTTTGGTTTTGATTATTTCCTTGCAATTAAACCTAGTGTTCTTGGCAGCCTTGCAAAAACTTTGGAAAGGCTTGTTCTTATCTGGGACAATTAGTTTTTAAGAGCATTTTAATGAACGAACGGAATTCACAGAGAAGCATTGAAAAGGTTTTGCTTTTATCTCTGTTTGGTGTTTGTTTGCTTTGAACGAGGCTTGGGTCAGAACACATTGATATATATTGGGACGACAAAGAAAAAAAATAATTCTTCCCTGGCGCAGCGAGGCCAGCTCTTGTTTGAAAGGGGATTCTAACCCAGAGGGAACTTCTAGTTCAGGAGAGAAAGCAAACACCTTTCCCTATCCAAGCACAATCCAATCTCTCTAACCAGATGCCTGGGCCTGAGACGAGAGGGAGCCGCGGAGTTTTCATGTCATGCTTGGCTGCATTTCTTTGAGGCACCGGGCTGATTAGTTTTGAAAGCAGGATGCTGTGTCTCGTCTCCGCTTGTGTGACTTCGGGATTCAGACTCACCCGTTGCTGAATAAGGGCGTGCTTATGCTCCATTTCCCTCTTCTCCACAGCCGAGTCGATCACCAACTGGTCCAGCTTCAAGGGTGAATGAGAAGGCACGTTAAGGCCGAGGCTTATTTTCTGCGCTTTCAATTTCTCTCTCTGAGGCCAAAGAGAACTATCTTTTTCCCAATGGCCACATGAGACCACATGGTGGGCAGGGCTAAAAGTCACATAGGTAGGGCTAGCCCAAAGCGTACCCTCTCTCTCTCACTCCCCCCATGCAGTAGAGTGTAGGGAGGGAAAGGAAGGAAGGAAGGAAGGAAGGAAGGAAGGAAGGAAGGAAGGAAGGAAGGAAGGAAGGAAGGAAGGAAGGAAGGCGAGGCACAAATGTGAGGGGAAGGAAGGAGAGAAAGAAAGAAAGAAAGAAAGAAAGAAAGAAAGAAAGAAAGAAAAAGAAAGAAAGAAAGAAAGAAAGAAAGAAAGAAAGAAAGAAAGAAAGAAAGAAAGAAAGAAAGGTGAGGCACAAATGTGAGGGGAAGGAAGGAAAGAAGGAAGGAAGGAAGAAAGAAAGAGAAAGAAAAGAAAGAAAAGCAAATACTCAAACTCAAACCAACATCTGGAAAATAGACCAAGTGCCACACTTTATTTTAGGCATATTTGCATCACAAACCAACCATCAGTCAGAAAGTTTAGATTCTAGTCCTCATAATTCAAAAAAAATAGATGATTTGAAGAAAAAACAACCAACTTAACATTGACTGGATTTCACACACACACACACACACACACACCCCAGTCTCCTGCAAAATGCTTCCATTTAATTAAACTACGTCAGGAGCCAAGTAAGTGCATGCCAACAAGCTGAGCTGTCCTTTGGGTGACCTCCCCCCCCAAAGACCACAACCGCAATCCAGGAACCCTATCTGGCGGCTGCCAAGGAAAAACTACCAGGCCAATCTTACTCAAGATTTCTTGATGTCTTCCCTTGAACTCAGGTGAGGAACATGAGTCAGTCTCAAGGGGTCGGCTCAACAATCAATGAGATTTTATGAGTCTCCTAATCTTCTTTCCTTCTACAACTCTCTTTTGGTCTTTGTTCCCTTCACCCTTCTCCCAGCTTTGACCCACTTTTATTCCTCCCCATCTCCTTTCCCTGGCTTTGGGTTTCTACATTCTTTCTGTCTCTGTCTGTCTGTCTCTCTCTCTCTCTCTCTGTGTCTCTCTCTCTCACTCACACACACACAAGACTCAATTGCTTCCTCACCTCCGTGGCTAGTTTCTTCATGTACGGATCCAATTCGTGCAGGAGGCTGTAACCTTGCTGGAAAAAGGTGTACTGGGCGTGCATAAAAGAGAGCATCTGGAAGGAAGACAGGAAAGTCCCTTCATGAGCCACTCCTGCGTGCCCTATGGGCCCTTTGGGGCACTTCTGTGTCCCCGAGACCTTCTCTGTACATGGAAGAAATGAAGAGGCCTCTTCCAAGAGGGATTAAAAGAGACATTTCCCTTTCTCTGCCTAAGGGGGAAAGGGAGACCCCCACTCTTAAAGTGAGGCTGAAAGAAGATTTCCCTCCAGGACACGGAGGATGTCCCTCTTCTCCGAGAAGGCAACCCAAACTATCCTCCTCTCCTGCATGTGTGGGATAAATTTAACCTGGTTTACAGCATCCCCACCGATCAGCCCTCCATCATCCTTTGTAGCTTAGTTGCAGGGCGGGGAAGCATGAAGGATGGAGAAATTAAGTAAAATTCTTACGGCATCCAGAATTTCAAATTTCTTCTTGGCCTGGAGAACGTTGATCTAGAACGAAAGAAACACGGGTGGAGCTAAATTTCACGACTAACAAATCTGAAACAAGCGAGTCGGGTCACTCTTATAAAATTAAAAATGTTAATGCCCCATCTGTAAAATAAAAAAAAACTAGCTCCACGTTTTCACTGTTACCATCTTGGGTGCTTATAATGAACAGAGCCGGAGGAAGCAAAGGGGACAGATTCTACACAAACATTTTTATGGCCAAGTTCGTAAGACCTCCTGGCTTTGCAGAACTGTGAAGAAGGTGTGCGTGTGAGCCGTGAAGTGAGCAATTCATATTAGAGGGGCAGATCTATCAACATCTATTAAATATGAGCAGAAATAGCACAGCCTCCTGTTTAAAAGGCAGGTTACATCTAAGTAACAAGTACTACACACAAAGAGCAGGAGGACGTGATTGTAATCGATTCTACTCTGGCTGCCTTTAAAACGGGAAAGGGAACCACCCAGCTAGAATACAACTCCGCTAAGCCACTGCCCGCACGGCCAATAATAGCTAGAATGATGGCAGTTGGAGTAGTGGAACCCTTTCCAGCAAGCTACTGACTCCTAAGCTTAAATTGGACTTTTAAAAATAAATAAATAAATAGAAACGCTTCCAGGAGCTAAAACAGCTGTTTCCCTTTTGGTCACCAGCAGGTCATCGGATGCAGAGAACGGTTCAAGGTTTCTGATTTCTTGGCTTCCCAATGGTTTCCCCCAAGAGCCAGCTTCTTCTGCTCATTCCTACAAATCCACAGGATATGACTCCATATGCTGTCCCAGGACGAGACAGAAGGTCTTGGCAGATGGCTCCAGTTTGCAAAGGCGGGAGGTGGGGTAAAGGAGGGCACTGAAGCAGCTTGGATCAATATTAGCCTGGAATTTGGGGGGGTTTGATTGAAGTAGCGGAAAGTCAGGAAAAGAAAGCTCAGTCCAGTTTCAGATACGGTAAGGATACATACATCCATGTAAGAGGAAACACAGTGAGAAAGTAAAGCAATCATAGGAAGTCCAATTCAGCCCAATTCAAAGCAAAATGTGTTCCTCCCGCTGCCCTATTTCCTTTCCCTTGCTCAATCAACCTTTGGAGTGGAGATTTTCCAACTGGGGACTTTTCCTTCCCGAAAAAGATGGGACTCTTTTCAAAGCAACACTTTGGTTTTCCTCCCCAAAAAATCCATTTTCAACCGAATGCCCAATGAGGTCAAATGTGGATCTGAAGAATGAAAATTCAAGGAGAAACCAAAACAGACTCATCTTTGAAGAGACTAAAACATAGGAAGAACGGTTACAGGAACCGGGCCTGGCTAATCTAGTGAAGAGAAGGACCAAGGGAGACATGATAACCATCTTCCAATATTTGAGGGGCTGCCCCAGAGAGGAGGAAGGGGTCAAGCTATTTTCTAAAGCACCTGAAGGCCAGACAAGGAACAATGGATGGAAACTGACCAAGGAGAGATTCAACCTGGAAATAAGGAGAAACTTTCTGACAGTGAGAACCATCAACCCATGGAAGAGAAGTTGTCTTTGTAAGTTGTGGGAGCACCATCGCTCGAGACTTTCAAGAAGAGACTGGAGTCCCATCTGTCAGAAATGGCATAGGGGTCTCCTGCTTGGGCAGGGGGTTGGACCAGATGACCTACAAGGTCCCTTCCAACTCTGATTATCTGATCTGATAGGCTTTGCTTTTTCCACCTAATTCTAGGAAGCCCCCTTTAAAAAAAAAGTCTCACCTACCTGCAAGACGTAATCCAGGGCCAAGTGCCGGAAACATTTCCTGGTGATGGTCAGCGTGCCCGTGGCTTCTTCTACTTCGTGGGGTTTGTGCCGTGGGGCTTGGGCGTTCTTGACCAAAGCGATCTCCATGTCTTCTCGGACTTTGTCAAACTGTTTTTTGGTCTCCTTGAACTTGCGGACATCCCTGCCAAGCAAAGCAAGATGGCAGGCATGAGCTTTGTTGACATCTGCAGCCCGCTCAACACCCAAAAATGGCCAGGTTGGTCTTCATTGGGTGTGTCCAGCCATTGGCAACATCTCAACAACCTGTCAACTCATAAAATATTTCTATGGTCTTTTTAGAGTTGCCAACAGAAACGGGGGGGGGGGGGGGGGCAGTGGGCAGCCTGCATTCCATAAATGTTTTCAAAGATAGTTTCTAGGTGACTGAAGTTTCTAACTGATGGAGGAACAGAATCATAGAATCGTGGAAGGGAGGAAGGGTCTTCTAATTATTTGCCAGGAATCCAGGTACTCACTCTTTCACAAAGTTGTTCAACTGTTGCCGGACAGATCTCTGAGCTTGGTCGAAAAGGATCTAAAGACAGGCGGGGAGGGGAGAGCAAGCAGAGAAGGGAGGGGAAAAAGCACATAAGACCATCAAAACTCTGGATCGTTCCAGCAATCCAATGACTTTTTAAACGGAGGATTCTTAACATTAGCCATTAGCTAAAACACCCAAAATGTCCTGTTGGATCTAGTCCACAAGTAGGACAATTAATAGCAGTGCTCCGTGGTTTATTTTCCCACAGCATTACTGAAAAGATAGACTACTTCTTAAGGCTGGAGGTTCCAGACCTAACAGTCATCAATTCTGCCTTCCACAAGAGAAGACCCATAGGTTGGTTAATCATGCAAAAGAAGGTATCATACCCCAAAATATATGATACCCCCAATCCATTGGATAACTATTTGACTTGTATGTCTACTTATAAGAAGGATAGGCTGCTGTTCTGTCTGGAAGGCAAGCCAAACCAGCTAATAAACCAAAGCCTCCAATTAAAGTACCAATTTAAAAAAAAAGTAGCTTTAAAAACAAAAATAAATCAAGAAACTTGAAGGGGGGGGGGGACGGGGACAGAAACCAGTTGCATTCCTCACCTGTTCCTCTAGAGGGCACCCTCACTCAACAGGCCAATATCTCTGCTGGCACCAACATGAAAACTCATGTCTAGCAGCTGCTTCTATTTTATTGAAATCTGCGTTGACTATGTATCAATACCGTTTCATTATTATTATTTTTACCACTCGACCATCAAACCTTTTCTCAGCATCTTAACATTCTAGGCAATTTCAAAGGCTATTTACCCCATCCTGTCTTCTTCTGCTTCTTATATTAATACGTTACTTTCTTTAAAAAAAAAAAAAAAACTTTTGTAAGAAAGTGGGAGCAATTCTCCAGTTTCAAGTTCCCACCAGCCCCCAGCCCCCACATCAGGCTCCCATCACTTGTCTGGCAATAGGATAGAAGTGGTATCCCGTTGCCTTGTTCCAAGCTGTTTCTTTGGCAGCTTTGGGACTTCATGTTGGCTTTCCATCCCAAAACTGAACCTTTAGTCCTACTTTTTTGAGGCTAACTTGGCCGCAGAGTTAGTACCCACACCGAGTTGTATCTGTGGGTTTTTTTTTCAGAGAAAGAGGAAAAGTATCTTCTTTCTCCTCCCACAAATACTTTGACTTTCTGAAAATCCCCTGGGTGCACGCATACACTTTCCTCTCCCGTGCCCCACAGCCCTGGCATTCACATCCTCCACACTTGAAATAACATAAATGTTTTGTTTATCCAAGAGTGGTTTTCCTGCGATATGATTTGAAAAATCCTGCAAAAGGCAGCCTTTTGCAAGCAGAGGACTGAAGCACCCCATTCCATCCTGCTGGCAAACAGGTACCCAGCCTTGAAGACTTTTAGCTCCATTGGTGCCTTCGGCCAAGGGGACGTACCAGCTCGAAAACGGTCCTGAGCGGGTTTTAAATGCAAACAGATGCAAGCATTGGGGAAGTATGAAAGACCACCCAGCTTGCCTTCTCTTGCCATTTTGGCTTTTTTTTTTTTTTGCCCTGGTGATGCAGACGAAAAATCGTACACACAGTGTGTGCCCAAAGATTCCAACAGCACCGGGATGCATAACACGATTGCAAGATAGTTCATAGCAACCGTAAAGGAGAAAGTCCATTTTCACTCCCAGGGATGAAGATTTCTGGCAAGCCACGTTGGCTGAGATCTCTCCAGAAGACTCCATGCTCAGATTGAGATGGAGATTAAGCAAATTGAGAATCTACCGGCCTGCATTTCTGGAGGATTCGAGGCCCAGGATCCAACCCACCTACAGCCACATCTATAGCTCCCATCTTAGCTGCTGAAGACCACAGACTGGCAACAGACTGAAGATGTTGCGAAAGGGCAGAAAGTTGTTGTTTACGGGTCTTGATTTCAACAAATCCATCAGCTTCAGGCAGCAAAACGGGAGTGGGGGGGCTGACACCAGGCAAAAATTCCTGTTGCTTCCACACACTAATTCCCAGTCCTTTCTTCTTACTCAGAATCGGTTCCTTCTACCAAAGTCCATCTTGGGATTCTTCTCAATCAAGAGAATAACTCAATTTTTGAGGGGTTTTAATGGTGGAGCTTGGAACATGATCCATGTTAAATTAATTCAAAGACAGATGTGGACAACCATGCTGAGCAGGAGGGAGGGGCCAAATGCGTCATTAGTCATGAGTCCCTGCGTGCCCACAAGAGATCTGAGTCCAGCCCACTTTGAATTCCTTTCTATTCTTAATTCCCACTCATTTCCCTGGACCGTTAGTAGTTGTAGCGAGCTTAAGTCTGCAATAAATATTTATACTCATTTGAACCTCCTGATTTCCCCGGCACTTGACAACAATTCAAGAAAACGGTGACTTGGAAAAAGTTCACAAATGTTCAACTAGGCATGGAATAATTGAATAAATAAATAAAACTGAGGACATTTTCCTAGTTAATACCAGAACACCACAGTTAACCTAGACTTCTTAGTCAACTTGTTGGAACTCTCCATCCCACAATGGAATGAATGGTATCCAGGTTGAAGGATTTAAACTAGCAAGTAGGGTAAAGATGTCCTTTGGTTCAACTCAGTTCTGGGACAGCTCAAGGGGAGGTTTTGGGCAGTTCATAAAAGTGGTTTGTGAAAAATGCTGGGATTTTAAAAAAAATCCTATTTCCCATCCATCGTATAGATAAAAGTTACATGAACAACTATTTGAAAGATCATCTTCCAAACTTTGATAAGATCACCTAGAGCAAGGCTCTTCAAACTTGGCAAGCTTTAAGACTGGTGGACATCCAACTCCCAGAATTCCTGAGTTCTAACATGACTGGAGTAGGAATTCTGGGAGTTGGAAGTCCCACAAGTCTTAAAGCTGTCAAGTTTGAAGAGCCCTGACCTAGAGACAATTTGCAGAGAGGTGCAAAATTCATCCCCCCCCCCCCCGCCCCCCAAAAAAGAATGAAATATTTATATTTAAAAAGAACTTGGCTTCACCTTAAAAAAAACAAAAAAAACCCCGTAATTTTAAATTTCTCAAGTCGTTTTCTTGGCTTCCCAAATAGGCTTGGAGCTGATTGTATAAAATAAAAGTTTCCAGAAAGTCTGCCTCTTTCTGCCCACCCAGCTCCAAAGTAATCACCAAGATTTCAGGATGTGAATCACTGGTCACTTTAGATGGAGATCTTCCTCTCGGGTTAAGCCTCTGTTCCAAGACCAGCCCAAGTATAAAGTCAACCTAACCAGTCTTGGGGGGTGCCAACATTTCAGGGTTGCATCACATAACCTTTTTCTAGTGGGGTGGTGGTGTTGAAAGTGGAACCAATTAACTAGAAAGCTTGCTGTTCCATTACAAAACAAAACAAAACACCCCTCGTTGTTTTGTAGAAGTAATGGTTCGTCTTCCATGTTTCTTACATTCTTTTGGGAGTGTGTGTCCCCGGCGTTAGTGATTTCAGCTTTAGAAGACGAACAAGAAGCATAAATTTCCTTCCGAGATGATGTCTCACGCAGCATTGCTTCACTGCCAAGGTTGCAAAAGCCCGTAAAGCTAGAAATGACCAATCTTCCCTCAGTGGAAGATTTTCTTAGCAACAGTGCAGAAAGAGAGGTTTCTGCTATCCTTCTCCTCAAGCCAGAGTTAAAATCTGGTCATAGATTCCTACTTTAGGGACGCGGTGGGCTCAGGGGCTAAGACGCTGAGCTTGTCAATCAGGAAGGTCAGCAGCTGGCAGTTCGAATCCCGAGCACTGTGTAACGGAGTGAGCTCCCGTTACTTGTCCCAGCTTCTGCCAACCGAGCAGTTGGAAAGCATGTTAAAAAAAAAAATGCAAGTAGAAAAATAGGGAGCATTTTGGTGGGAGGGTAACAGGGTTCCATGCACCTTCGGGCGTTTAGTCCTGCTGGCCACATGACCACGGAGACGTCTTCGGACAGCGCTGGCTCTTCGGCTTTGCAACGGAAGTGAGCAGCGCCCCCTAGAGCCGGAAACGACTAGCACGCATATGCCAGGGGAACATTTACCTTTAGGTTCCTACTTAACTGTCTAAACCAGGGGTGTCCAACCTTGGCAACCTTAAGACTTGTGGGCTTCAATTCCCAGAATTCCCCATCCGATCAATCTTGGCAATGTTAGGCCCAACAATATCAGAGCGGACTTGCTAAGGTCTCTTTTTTTTTTCTCTTTCTCTTCTCTCCATTTCCAGCCCCTTCCTCATCCCAGCAGCTGCCACGAGCAAAATGAACGTCCAAGCTGCAGAACCTCCCAGCAAGCCCCAGAAAAGCAGGAGCCCCACCCAAGCTAATCAAATGAAGTGTTTTCGAAGCCGAAGTCAACCTACGGACCTCTTCTAAGAGCACATCGGCCCCTCGTGGAATTAAGTGAGCGAGCGACAGGGTGTGCATGTGTGTGAAGAATTGTGCCCTGTCCTTTCACCGCAGCGGCCAGATTTTTTTCCCCCTGCTAAAATTCCCACGGCTGCAAAGCAAGCAAAGCTATCCACAGGGATTGTTACAAGAGGCCTTGCAAGAAAAGCTGTAGGACCAGTATCTCCAAAGGGGGACAGCGGAACTCGTTCTTCTTCGGCATGGCTGGCCTTTGCCCGAGGCAGGAGGAGGCAGGGGCCTCCTGCAGCAGCTTCCCCACCCCCCAGTTCCAAAAGAAATATCCTGGCTTCCCTTGCGCTCACCCATGCACCCACATAACACCCTGCGGGCTACCGATACCTCACTCTCCCTCCCTGCATTCTGCTTCTCTCCACTGTTGCCATGACAGATGCTCAGGACTCCTCCTGGGGGGAAGAATTTTCAACTCGGGTTTTTCCTCCTCCCCGTCGCAAGAGGAAAACGGACAGCGAGCACAGAAACAGGCCTGCAGACATTTTTTTTTTCCCCAAAAGCCTCCCATTGCTTTGCATTTCCCTTCCCTTTCAGCATCCGCTCGAGAGAAGGAAACCCCTTCTTCGCCATCCCACTTCTTCTCTCGGTGGCTTCTCCCCGTAGCAACTCCCTGGGAGCAAAACCTTCTCCTTCTTCCCCTCCTTCCCGAGAGGAGCATCATCGTAATCCCTCCATCCACTCCCTCCGTCATGAGTTCGGCTGCAAGCAAAAGTTTTGGCCAGGCCTGAGGCTAAGTCAGCAGCTTCTATGGAACCACCATCGAGCCCTGCCCCGATGAACTAACGGGTGAGTTACACAAATATTCTTTTCGGGTTCAAGATGCAACACACTTTGTGCCTTTTGTGCGGGGTTTTGTTTGTTTGTTTCCTTTCCAAAGTTAGATGTGATTTCCCTCCCCTCTCCCTCCCTTTCCTAGACCATAAAAAGCGATGCATCTTTTGATCAAGGGGACGATGCCCCATGACATCAAGAGGGAGGGGCTTCCTGACACTGCAGAAATGTTGACTTATAAATAGAAATATCTCATCTCTAGAGAAGGGAAGAGAGCGGATGGACCAGATTCTCCTGGGGGTGGGGGGGAAAAAAACCCTATTTATTTGGTCATTAAGAGTCCTCACCTGGCTTCATGACACATAATAATTCAATCCGAGAAGGCTATGGAATAGTATTCAAAGGGTTTGAAAAAAAGAGGAGGAAGGCGGCGGCAAACTTTCAAAGAAGAGGCGCTAAGGTGGGAACATACTATGGGGACAGTTCAGCAGGTTGTGAGAGGTTTTCATTTTTAATTAATCTACTAATTAAAATCTGGAAAATGATGGAAGGGGGAAAAAAATATCCCAAGTGTTTCACCTTTTATTTTCCTTTTTATCTGGGCGTGAAAAAAAGGCAGAAAAAGAGTTGTGGTTATACAGCTTGGGATCACCAAGTTTAACAACTTTAAGACCTGTGGACTTCAACTCCCAGAATTCCCCAGCCAGCCATGCATAGGGAGTGCTGGGAGTTGAAGTCCACAGGTCTTAAAGTTGCCAAGCTCGGAGACCCTTGGTTTAGAATACTGGCTGGGACACTGAGAAAAAAAAAAACCAGGAGAATGTTATTAAAATTATTTGGGGAGAGGATTTCTCTCCACTTGTCCACCCAAAATATTAGATCACCTTCCTTTTCCCTCATCCTTTTCTCACCATACCTAGAATGTGGGTTCACTTATTTCAACGGTGGATTTGGAAAGGATCCAGTGTAGGATCGAGCAAAAAATAAATAAAAATCCGCCGATCTTCTGGCCATATCAATTTTATGGGGGTGGGGTAGAGTGGATCTCTTTAAAACAGCTGCATAAAAAATGTATATTTCCACACTCAAAACTTACTGCCTCACCACACCAGCGAATGAAATTCAAGACTCAGGATGGTTTTTAAGACTGTAGGATATTTCCCCCCCCCTCATATGATGCGAAAAATTCCGCTAGGGACAATGCTACAGATCAAAGGGAATCTCTTATTACACACCACCTTCCAAATTATCTCATGGTTGGCTAGCAAGGTGCTGGAAACTCCTCATCCAGGTGTGGTTTTTGTGACTTCAAGAACCTCCACTGAACTGATCTGCACAGAAAAGCAACTTGGGGAAGGATGCCACTTACCATGTGATAGTTGACCATTTCCTGCAAACTGTCTCCAAACTTATCCAAGCATTCCTGCAGAAGGAAGGGGGGGGGGGAGGAAATACAAGGGCATTTAATTCCACGCATCAGATATCTAGAGAAAGGACCATTATTTGCACATCCCTGGTAGAACTGATGGATCGTAACCGAGGCCAGATTTGCCTAGCCGGTTCTTTGGTTTCTAGTTGTTGTAGTGTATGAAAAAAAAAAAAAAAATTAGGTCTCTTCTGGCAGTGCTAAAGGTGCTTTTTTTTCCACCCCCCAGGGGCAACTGGTCTTTCTTGTTTTTCTCTGAAGACATTTCACTTCTCATCCAAGGAGCTTCTTGGGACTTCAGAGCTGAAGAAGCGGCTTGGATGAGAAGTGAAACCTCTTCAAAGAAAAACTTATTATTATTCCCTTTATTGTCAGAGTACAACAGTGTACGATGAGATTGGCTAAAAAACTGGAAAGCCCAGTTGCCTCTTGGGAAAAAAAAAGACACCTTTAGGACAACCATGACCTGGATGATTGAACATCTCCATAGAGGTGTCCTCTGGCAAGCCATAAGGGGAAGACACACTGCTGAACTGATCCCCAGCCAGTCCAGGTACAAAAGCAAGGAATCAATGCTGAGAGAGGCCATAGGGTGTTGGATGTACGGCTCCCATTATTTCCTCTCTGGCATACTTGGTCCCCTCCATCAAGCGATGGGACAGATTCTGCTGCAAATGCTTGTTCCATACAGGTTGTGTGATTTCACCTGAACCTACAGCCTCCCCTGAACTGTTTGTCCTAAACCTCCCCACCACCAGCAGCCCATCTCTTCTCCCCCGTGCCTGTCTCCCCTCTCCCAAATAACGGATGCTCGCTGACCTAGTTCAGAGCCGCCAGCAGCTCCGCGCGTTCTGCCTTTTTAGAAAAACAACACAATGTCTTAAGACATCCAATGCCTCGGATATTTTTAGCTACGTGCGGAATCTGTGGATGTGTTTGCGTGTGCGTGCGTGTGTGGCTTAATTGCGAGTTACGAAAGCCAAACATTGCATTTCTATTTATTCTTTGGGCCCAAAATGCATGGAGCTAGAAGTGGTTATGTGGGATTTGTTCCCCACCCTTTTTTGTTGTTGTCGTTGTTGTTATTTTTTGCTTACAATTCTCAGGTCTGATTTGGTGCCCTTATTTAGAACATTTTTAACATTCATCCCAAACAGAAGCTTCCAATATGCTTATTAAGTCACTGCTGGCTTACTAATAACACGAATAATATTTTCATTTTGGCCAGTGGGGGTGTGTTCAAACAATTCCAAATACGATCCAAACATCAAATCTGTTCCTCAGATATAAAATCATATGTTGTTTTTACATGACACATTTAACCCAGCAGGTGCTTTCACCCACTACCCTAACCTTGGTTGCACTAACCAGAGTTAATCTTTAGTAGCTTAGCACTTCAAAAATATCCATCTGTCTTCTCTGCATTGTGCCAACACAGGAAATGAGTAAATTCAGTAAGTGGGTACAGCTATACTGTTGAACTTAAAAATTGAACCCTCCTGCAATATATCTATTCCCTCTGCTTCTAAGAAACCTGTCCTGCCATTAAAGAACTGAAAACCTGAGGACCTCCTTTAAAATACTTAATCAAAATATCTTTTTTTTTTGTAGCAATTTCAACCTGCTCTGGAATAAAAGATAACATTATTCCATCCTTTTTCAGGCAGTCGAAACAATAGCGGGAAAATACCTTTATTCTATGGCTATCTCAACATCCATCTTCCATTTGTCATGTTGTGCCTCTTTTTCTATCCCTGTATTCTCCAGTAAAGACAAAATGGAACCAAATCCCAAATCTTGCAAGATCAGCAAATCTTAGGTGATCTCAAGGCTCTTAGCTCCTGTGATTTCACATTGGAAGAATGTGTTTTCGTGAACACTTTTGGCCAAAGTTTCTTTAAAAAGATACACACACACACACACACACACACACCACAATGTAATAATGTCTCTCTGTGCTAAAAATGAGATGCTCTGTCACTTCCAAACACAGTATTGCCAAATTCAAAAGTTGCCTCGGAACGAGAGAGAAAAACCAGCGAGATTGGGAGGACAGAAATGGCAGAGCTGCGTTTTTCAAACTTGACAAACTTTTGAGTTGTCTGGACTTCAACTCCCAGAATTCCCCAGCCAGCATTCAGGTTTACTCCGTTGTTGTTTATATAGAGTAATAATCGACACCCTAGTCCATGAGAAAGACAACCTATCATCAAATCTGCAGAGGCAAGTCTGAATTCAGTCATGCTGAGTTTGGTCAGCATTTCGTACACCCTCAAAAATTTCCATGTTCTCATTTCTTACCGAGATCATTTCATCTTTCTTGCACTGCTGGGAGAGATCACGGACGCCGCCGACAAACTGTTTGTTGGTGATGATGTATGCTTTCCCGGCATCTACCATATTGCTACATAGCTTTACCAGCTGAGAAAGGAAAGAAAATCACCTGGTGATGACATCATCCAGCCCATCGGTTCCCACATCAGTTGAAGAAGCCTGGGGGAGTTCGCAACCCTAAGTCCTATACCTGCAATAAATTAGTTTTCTTTTTGTGTTGTACAGGTCACCTTCAAGAAATGAGGGGAGCCGAATGTCAACTCATAAAATATTTCTATGGCCTTTTTAGAGTTGCCAACAGAAAGGGAGGGGGAAGCAGTGCGGCAGCTTGGAAATCGAAAGTGCATTCCATAAATAGTTTTCAAAGATAGTAACTAGGTGACTGAAGTTTCTGCCACACAAAATTCTAACTGGAGAGCGTGACTGATGACTCTTGGCTATGGATGTGTCGCATTGGAGAATATGAATTACGATACACCCAGAGGGGTGGTGGGAAAAACTAGGGTCAAGGGTGACCATGAATGATGTGCCTCAGAGTCGGCTACACCCAGGCAGTGCCGGATATGTTATCTCCCAATAAATCCTTTTGAAGTTTTGGACGTTTGACTGGAGACTCATGATTTAATTGGGGTTAAATGCCGGAATCCTGACATAAATTTGATAAGCTTGCAGCTGAATGGGGATTGAAATTCTTTACTGCCCAGCCAATGCCTGTGTACGGCACTCCAGATGTTTGGACTACAATTCCCAGAATCCCTTGCTAAAGGAAATTGAATTTTCAACCTCTAGTGACTGCCCCTGGAGCATAAGTGACAAAATATACCAGAAATTATATTCGGCTGTGTCCTGTGTTTTGGGGGTAAAGGCAGATTTGCAATTCCACTACGGGGGGGAAAAGACCCCAGTGCTTGGAATCTTCCAGAAAGTTTTGATTTTTAGACAAAAGGACTTGCGATGGCCAGACAAGAACTAAAACACGAGCATAGACCCCCTTCTCGCTCTGTTCCCAGCATCTGCCAAAGCAAGGCTAGGTTGCTGGCAACCTCCTCTGCACTATTGCATCGGATTCCAGGGAACAAAAGCAAACAGATGCAGCTCCCGGTCACATCTGGCAGCCAGATGGGCAATAGGGAGGCTCCCGAGGAGTCAGCCTCTGGAAGAGCGAGGAGGCAAGGTCCTTCTTGCAACGTGGCAGTTTCTGCAATGCGGTTTGGTTTTGACCAAAAGCTAAGCGAAGCTGTGTGTGTGTGTGTGTGTGTGTGTGTGTGTGTGTGTGTGTTATTTGCAACAGGAGCTCTTCTGAGGCTGGGAGGTGGGGCGGTGGGTGGGAGCCCCGAAATGCAATTAGATCTTCACACTAATTGTGGCACCTCCATCTCCCACTACCCAAAAAACAGAGGCTTGGCAGAGGTGTGCTGTTTGGAAGAACCACATGTAACACACACAATTTGCACTTAAGCGCATAAGTGTTTCCTGACTGCCCACACACAACATCATCATCGTCATCATCATTTGCGTGCAGCCCATCCTGAACCTTCCCGTCTTCGACGTTTAGGACGATCCCACCTCTGGTTGTTGGTTGTTCCTGCTTGGCCAAGGCTTATGGGCAAGGATTTATAAAAGCCTTAGAAAGACCACACCTGGAACACTGCATGCAGTTTTGGTCTCCACATTACAGATAAGACGTTCAAGACTTTGGGAAAAGTGCAGGGAAGAGCAACTAAGAGGATGAAAGGCCTGGAGACTAAAACATATGAAGAAGGGCTGCAGGATTTGGGTTTTGCCAGCCTAGAGAAAAGAAGGACTAGGGGAGACATGATAGCAGTATTCCAGTATTTGGAAGGGCTGCTACAAAGAAGAGGCTCCAACGCACCAGAGGGCAGGACAAGAAACGATGGATGGAAACTAATCCAGGAGGGAAGCAACCTGAATTTAGGAGAAACTTCCTAACAGGAAGGACAATCAACCAGTGGAATAGTTTTGCCTTCAGAAATCGTGGGGGCTCCATCCCTGGAGGTTTTTAAGAAGAGACTGGACTGAAATGGGATAGAGTCTCCTGCTTGAGCAGGGGGCTCCAAGGTCCCTTTCAAGCTCTATTCTGATTAATTAACCAACTGATTTGGGGTTCTTGAGAAGAGCTTTTTCCCTTCTTACCTTATCAAGCTTGACTTCTATCTCCACAACATCTGTTTCTACCTCATCTATGGTCGCCCTGCAAAAAAAAAAAAGGGAGGGGGGGAGGAAACGGAGATTAAAACACCAGCCTGTCATCCCAGACAGAAGCATCGATTGCTAAGCCAGGAGAAAGTGACACTTAAAACAGCAGAAAGAAAAAGGGTGGGAGCAGAGGAATGGGAGCATCCTTTGGCCTGAAGTCTACATTACATTATCATTCGGAGAGTCTCCAGATAACCACTGTTAAATTAGCATCTTCATCTCATTGCTTTTATCCCGGTGAACTATTTCTCCATCGATTTGGAGGCTTGTTTTGTAAGTTAGGCCCAGGGAGAGAGGTTTTAGAGGTCATCTACCTAGCTCTAGCCTCAAGTGCAGAAAGCAGGGTGCACAAACGCCAACCCCTGCCCATCAGTCCTCTGACCTCAATGCATCTAATAGACTTATATACCGCTTCAACGTGCTTTTACAGCCCCCTCTCTAAGCGGTTTACAGAGTCAGCCTCTTTCCCCCAACAATCTGGGTCCTCGTTTTATCGACCTCGGAAGGATGGAAGGCTGAGCTCAACCTTGAGTCAGTCGGTCAGGATCAAACTGCTGGCAGTGGGCAGAGTCAGCCTGCAATACTGCATTCTAACAGGAAGGAAGGAAGGAAGGAAGGAAGGAAGGAAGGAAGGAAAGAAGGAAGGAAGGAAGATATCAATAGTACTTAAGACTTATATACTGCATCTCTTTCCCCCAACAATCTGAGTCCTCATTTTACCAACCTTGGAAGGATGCAAGACTGAGTCAACTAGGAGGAAAAAGGGAATGGGAAAAAGGGAGAGGGAAGGGAAGGGAAGGAAGGAAGTTCCTTTTCCACGATCCCTCCCACTTTGTATCTGAAGTTCATTTCACATTGCACCGCGCAAATCTCACACTGTCTAACAGTAAGGCTTTAGCCATGGCTTCAGAGTTCCACAGCATGGTGTCAAGGTCTGTTTTTCCTCTGTTTGAAAGACATTGCTTTTCAAGAAATACAGTACAGGATAATCTCCAGCATAAGTTAGCAGGCTAACTCGCCCTCCCCCCCCCACCCCCGGCCCCATAACTACGCACATACAGCCAGGCACTCAAGAGGGAAAAAAAATATGAATAAGCCAAGATTCGGAGCTTACAATGTAGTCAATCTGGAAGTAGGGGTGAGCCAAAAAGAGAGGGAGGGGGTTGGGGGGTGGAAAGAGAGACAGAAAATAAATGTTTCTTCTGGAGCTCATTCTGGTGGCAGGACAGGACAATGGTTCTTTTAAGCTGTTTCCTGGAAGTGCAGCAAACCATGGGGCCAACTTGTCCATCCACCCACCCACCCACCTACCAGCCTGGCCAGATCCCAGGGGTTTGCAGTTCCTAATTGTGTGGTTTGTGACGCAGAAGAGAAAGCGGGTGGAGGGGGAGAGACTGCGAAATGTCTTGGCTTGCTCCCTTCCAAGTATTCCGACATCCTATAACCGCCCCTTCTTTCCACCCTGTGATTATTTTCTCTTCTTCTCAGCAAACTCCATCTTGCTTCGCCCGAGTGCATAATTCCCTCCGCTGAAAAGGGGGTTGGCTCCTTCCCTCCCTTCAAACTGGCCAAACCAAGTCAAGAAGTCTGTATCAATTTTTCTGGATTTATTCACACACACACACACACACACACACCAGGAATTTAAATAGAAATACTATCTGTCGTAGCAGAACAGGGAGGACCGTTGAGTAGATGGGCCATCACCGTGGATGGGTCTCTTTTGAGTCCCAAGGGCTGGCTTTCTTAGAAGGTCTCTCATTCAGGGGCTCTTCAAACTTGACAGCTTTAAGACTTATGGACTCCAACTCCCAGAATTCCTCCTCCTCCAGTCATGTTAGCTCGGGAATTCTGGGAGTTGAAGTCCACAAGTCTCAAACTTGCCAAGTTTGAAGACCCCTTGCTTTACACCCAGCCAAACCATTTGTCCGTTTTTCCCAGGTAGAGTTTTCCCCCCTTTCTATTTCAATTTCCCAGGAGAGCTAAGGAACCTCTTGGGCTGTGTGGTCCGAACAATGCAGGGATGCATCAAAGCAGACGAAAACCTCTCAAGGTAGGAAGAGCTATGGCAGGGGTGGGCAATTATGGCCCTTGATGACCTGTGGACTTCAATTCCCAAAATTCCCGAGCCAACATCATTCCTGAGTTGAAGTCCACAGTTCAACAAAAGGGCCGCCCAGAGCCCCTTCCTGGCTCATTTGTGGTGTGAATCCAGAACTTCCATCCACCCCACAGAAGATAATTGGGCAAGGAGTAAACTAGGATTCAGGGACTGTCTCTTTCTCTCTCCGCTGTTTGATGTTTTCATGCTTGGAAGTTGAAACTGTGTAGGTACAGATCTGTTTTCTGAACCAGCAGAGAGAGGTACATAAGCTAACTCTGGATTAGGCGGTTGTTCCGTAGAACATTATGTGTCTCTCTGTTCTATGTCTGTCATCTCTGTTGGCATTCTCCACCTGAATTCAGGTTTAGAAGAAGCCACATATCTCTTTCTCATCTCCCTCCCTCTCTCCCTCCCCCCTCTCTCTCACACACACATACGAACAGAAAAAAATCCTCCAAAACACCTCACCCCCAATTATCCCCCAAAGATTCATTCTACCTCGTGCAGAAGAACGCATTTCCCATCTGATTCAGCTAACCACCTCTCCAGCTTTGGATCCTAGTTTGTTATCCCAAGTGAGCCACCGGCACCTCGAAGATCCATGGGGGGAGAAATGGGCAGAAGCAGACACAAAAAAGAACCTGGACTCCTTCAGGAGAAGACGCCAGTTCTGATTGGCACCCGGGAACTCTACGATTCCCATCGACATGAACAAGGGCCCAGGGGCAAGAAGAACGCCGCCTGGAAGCTCTCGTGAAGGTGAGTCAGAGACCGCCATCATTATCCCGGCATCCGCAGGGAGATAAGAAGCACGTGAGTTTGCGTGACCTCTTCCCCAACCCCTCACAAGCTTTGGCACGCTGGAGAAGATGCCTTTCGTTGAAGTTGGCGGAGGCTTCCAAGAACGATTAAGCTTAAGTAGAACAGCAGACTGGAACACCAGAGACGGTGAGCCAGTGCCCGAAGGAAGACGTTTTCAAGAAACCAGGTGCCAACATGACCTGGCCACATTATCGGTCAAAAATAGTCCATGACGTGAGCCTTCCGGAATCCCGGAATCGCAACTGTCCTGACGTACTACAGAGATAAATTGTTGCCTTAGCAGATTCAGAGGTAGCAACTGAGGTCAAAAACCTGGAAACTGACTCCTCAAGGAAGCTTCTAAATGCTTTATGGCCCATTTTGTCTGCGCGTGAACCCTCGCAAACCATAAGTCAGAAATTATCTTTATCTTGAATTCTGGTAAGGCGTCTGGTCACTTCCCAAGTGATCTACTAAAAGAGGTGGGTATTCAGCCGGTTCTGACCGGTTGTGGAGAACTGGTAGCAGAAAGTTTGAGTCATTCAGAGAACCGGCAAATGCCACCCCCGCCTGGCCCCACCAACCCCATCTATTCTCTGCCTCCCATCGAGTCCCAGCAGATCGGCGGGGTCTCCTTTGGTTGCCCTGCACAGGAGAACAGAGCTGGAAAGCAGGTTAGTTGGGTGTAGAGGGAATGGGGATTTTGGAGTATCCTTCCCCTGCCATGCCTACCAAGCCACGCCCACAGAACCGGTAGTAAAAAAAAAATTGAATCCCATCACTGTATACCATTGCAGCTCGGTACCCATTTAGGCTCTGGAGGCTGGGTCTTCTAACACAGCAGCAGGCCCAGATTGGCTCCCTGAGACCTAGGCAACCTAGCCGAGAGTTCTTTTCACACCCAGATCGATTTTGGCACCCTGCTGCATGTTTGGGCCGGATGCCCGCAATTCCTCCTCCTACGTCAGAGAAGGAATCGGGGCACAAGCCGTCACCACTTGATTTCCGCGGCCCAGTTGGCAGCAGCCCCCGGAGTCACGACAGGGTGCCAGAATTCAAGAGAGAGAGGGAGGGGGAGAGAGAGGAGAGGGGAGAGGGGAGAGAGAGAGGAGCGAGAGGAGAGAGAGAGGAGAGAGAGGGAGAGGGGGAGAGAGAGGAGAGGGGAGAGGGGAGAGAGAGAGGAGCGAGAGGAGAGAGAGAGGAGAGAGAGGGAGAGGGGGAGAGAGAGGAGAGGGGAGAGGGGAGAGAGAGAGGAGCGAGAGGAGAGAGAGAGGAGAGAGAGGGAGAGGGGGAGAGAGAGGAGAGGGGAGAGGGGAGAGAGAGAGGAGCGAGAGGAGAGAGAGAGGAGAGAG